ACCTGAGGAAACTAATAAATAATTTGTATAAACAAAAGAAGTAATGTAGAATCCATAATAAACAGTTACTACAATAGATGATTACAAAGAAAGAGTATAATAATATATTAATTATTAAATAGACAATTTAATTTAATACTAGTACTACAAAAAATGTATTTTAAGGTAAGACAGAGGAATAAAAGAAAAGAGTAAAGGAATTATAATAATTAATTACTTTAGAAGTAGATGATTATAGCAATTAATTAGTGATTTAACCTAGAAGTATGAAAATTAAAATTATTCTTAATAGCTGAATATGAAACATATCTCAATCATATTAAAGCTAATATAATAAGAAATTCATGTGATTAGGCATTTGATGACCGATTAACAGTTGATACTTAAACAGATGAATTTTAAACAAATGATTTTGGAGGATAATGTCCAGAAGATTATAATAGAACATTTCTTGCTCATAAATAATAATATCAAAAAGATAATCGATTATGTGAATTTATTGAATAAGCTTGTGATATATTTGAAGAAATTCTTAATATAGATAATAATAGAAATGAGATTAAATTTGATTAAGAATAGTTGAATCATAAATTTCCTAATAAAATAAATAATGTTTTTAAAACTAAATGTTTAAATATTGTAGCTCATTAAATAAATAATAATTAATTAGAATTGTTTGAAACTTATTATATTGAAAATGATAAATTTAAATGGCTTAATGGTTCATTAATAATTTAATATCCTTAAAATGTATTATATTATACACCTTCAAAAGTAACATGTTTAATTTGTGAATAAAATTTATTGATTTGTGGAAATGCAGATGGATAATTATGTGGATGGAGTATAAATGATATTGGTTATAACAATAAATATATTGATAAAATAAAAGAATTATTGTAAAATGAATTTAAAGTTAAAAGTATAAATTTTGCTTCAGAATGGAATTTATCTATTTTAGATTAATTTAGTGATGCTAATATGAACTAATTATCATAAATACAATAAATAACTCATAATTCATTAATCAAATTGATTTTTGAAATAGTTGTAATGGATGTATTTGGAAATATATAAGTTTGGGAGATTTAAGATTTAAAATATAATGAATAAGAAAAATTATATGTAGATCTAGGAATTAAATCAAAAAAGAAATTAGTATTATTAAATACAATAAATAAAAATTTGACAAAAATTTATAGTTGTATGAGTATGGATATTGATACGTAATATGAATAATTTAATTTATAGTATTCTCATTTGTGGACCTTCAAAAGTTATTAATATTTCTCAACAAAGATCATATTATGATGATTCAGATATGCAACCTTGTACTATTAGTAATATCTATTATGATTATTTTTGTGTTGGTTATAGTGATGGTCATATAAAGTAATATATATATATATATTATAGATTATTTCATAAAGATTTTACAAAATCAATTTGGTAATTGAGAATTGGATTAAAGAAAATAATATGGATTAGAATATTATCTGATGGTTTGATTGGCATTATAGATAGTGAATAGAATATATTTGTATATTTTGTTTAAGATAATACCCAAATGATTGGTAAATAATTAAATGATAAAGATCATTGGAGATACAATTATGCTTAGTATGTATTTATTATAAATTTAAGCTAAAATGGTTAAGAATTGACAATAGTTGGAAAAGATAAAAATAATGATTTACAATTGATTAAAGAAAGATTAGAATTAAAAGGAACCAAAAGTGAGATATTCGATAACATTTATTTGGATTATTATGGATAATGAAAAATATATAAATAAAATTATTAAATAGATATGTCAAGAACAAACAAATAGGTTGAATAATAGCCAGCACCAAATAAGAAAGTCTAAGCACCTTCTAAGCCTTAAAAACCAAAGGAGAATTATTTGACTCCAGAGGAAATCAATGATTTGAGAGTAAGAGTGTTGTTAAAAATAAAAAAAGGAAACCTTTGATTTGTTTGATGATGATAAGAGTGGCACAATAGATGCACATGAAATTAAAAAAGTACTTGAAGATTTAGGAGTTGATGCTAGAAATAAGTTTGTATATCAAATGGTTTAAGATTTAGAAAAGTATTTATATACATCTTAATATTAGTTTTGGAGGCTCAATTGATTTTGATACTTTTGTTAATATAATATCAGATAGATTGGGAAATAATAAAACAAAGGAAGGTGCATATAAATTGTTCCAAATTTATGATCCTGAAGATACTGGGTTTATATTTGAAGATATTTTAGATTCATTGATTTCGTAAATCTTAAACGTGTGGCAAAGGAATTGGGTGAAACTCTTAATGATGATGAATTGCATGAAATGATCCATCATATTCACATTCTTAGAAAAACAGAGAGCCCAGAACAAATCTCATTTGATGAGTTTTATGAAATCATTACCGCTCCAAGAAGATATTGAGAAAATAAAATCATATATATTAAATTATCATCATCTGACATATATATATATATATTTATATTTAAATATAATTCAAAATTTTATCATAAAGAATAAGATTATAATTATTACTCCAAATAAGTATGTATTGTTAAAAAATTCATTAATCAAAAATAATAATTATTATTATATTCAAACCCATTTAATATCTTTACATATAGCTTATGCATCACTTAAAGAACAAAGTACTTTTCCAAAATCCTCTTTCAACTTTTAAATCTATCCATTTATTGCAATAGATGGAACATAACTTAAATTCGGAGTTCTCAATCTATTTGCATATAAAAGTTCAATTCCTTATGGACCATTAGCACATGCCTTAACCTGCAACTTTTATTAAGTATTCTATAAACATTTCTCTATTTATTTTTGAAAATTTTATTCATAAGCTTCTTTAAAGAAACATCTCACAAATTTAGTACTAGAAACCTAATCTTATTGAATTTATAGACCACATGCTAAAATCATGTTTCCATAACATTCTTCTTCACTATGTTAACAATTAGTCATATATGTATTAGCTTCATAAGTATTTGTATTCATCTTTCCAGAAGGTATAAATTCAACATTGGCTAATAAATCCAATGAGTCAATTGTTGAATTAGATATACTTCTCATCATTGCTGCAGTATCAGGACAAAGAGATTCTATGTATATTTTTACATTTGGTAAATCCTATGCGTTGCCAATCAACGTTAGTGTAATGAAAATAATGGTAAAATTAATCATTAGAATATTATATCAATTTTATGATTCTATAATGTCATCCAATTATAAATATAAATTTCTATTTGTTAGATTCTCTGAAAATCCTTCAAATTAAACTATGTGTGGAGAATATTCTATTTATGGAGACCCATCAAATTCTAACCTAAACTTAGTTCTAAAAGGATAGGATGATAATTGAAGAAAGGTAAATTTTTATAAGTTGATGATTTATTTTATACCTTCCTACACTTATGATTATTGATTTATTTTTTTAAGTACTTTTGATTCGTTAAATTTCTTCTCAAGTAAACCTTGCCTTTAAACTGGACAATTAGCTTATTTTGTTGTCCTTTAATAGAATATAAGAAATAATATCACTCTATTAAAAATAGTTTGTGGAATCAGGTTTAAAAGGAGTTTGAAAATATTTATCTTTTAATTCAAATTAAATTAAACAAATTGAACATGTGTCTGTAATCATTTTGAATCTATGATTTATGAAGGCATATGTTTTATTACTTTTCTATCCAAAGCTAGTTAAATTTAAGAAAATTTTTTGTATTATCGTCTAAAATGAAATATTATTATTAAAAAAGGATCATACCAAAGATTATGATAGAATTGTAACCAAAAAATGTAACTCTACACTCTTAAATCCAGTTCTAGTTTTTATTAAATCAATACATAAGGGTGATTGTGATTTCTTGAATTTAAGTAGAATTAAAATTTTATAAACAAAAATATAGATATTATCCTAATCATTTTCAGTTTTTTATAAGGAGATTTCATTATCGTCATCATTTTTTGAATACAAAACTATAAAATTATATAAAATGATCGAAGCATATTAATAGTAAGATTATTAATTGAAATTATGGACACCCAAAATACAGATTCTCCATTTTAAATAATAATCTAATAATAATAAAATATAAATTACTTCATAATGATTATTATCAAGTATTGTATAAGCATATAGCCAAGTGTTATTTAGAATTAATATTGTTGCAAAAATTTCTTTTTAGATTTAAAGAATTGAAAGTCTACTATTCTAAGCATATTGAGGGAATAAACATATAGGTTAAAAATATTATTTCTAATATTTGAAATTATATTTGAAGCTTCGTTATGAGTCTAATTAAAATGCATCTTTTTATTGATATCTTGTTGATTTTAAAAGTACTCTAACTCATTAAATGATACTTTGATGATGATATTTTCTGTTTCATTAATATATAATCTTTTTTTTATTAGCATTCACAGAATATACCTATGAATCATTAAATATTTAATTATTTATAATCACTTAAAGCTGAGATCCTATAAAGTTTCAAAAAGACTTATTAAAAATATGATGGTGATAGTATAATTGATACACAATTACTAAAACTGAATTCACAGGAATCTTAATTGGAGGAGCTCATTATGGATTAAAGCCAAAAGTTGAATTTATGACATGGAATTTTGCAATCCATACTTTTTTACAACAAAAAAGAGATACATTTAGAAGAAAGTTAAAATTTTCTTGTCTTTGTTTGGACTTTATTCCTTAGATTTATTAAAGGTTGGAAACTATGCAAATTCATCTAAAAATCCAATAAGGTTGATAAATTTTCAATTACTAATATTTTGCTTAATTGGACCTTTTTATTTTTAATGTTGAAGCATCTAGTAATAATTCAAGAATTTAGTTTGAAAAAACATGAAATATGATACTTATGTGAAAAGAATCCTTTCAAAGTAGAAATTTTAGATTTTTATATCTTTTTTACTTTATCTGAATGGATTATTTTAAGGCCCATCCATTTATCTGATTTATCAACAAAGTAAATCTTTAATTTTAAATGTGGCCTTAGAGACTAAACTTTCTTGCTACTCTGTTTTGATTCTTATTTCTCTTTGATAATAATGATTGTAAATAACACGATCGAAGGCTCATTACTTTTAAGTATAAACTATATTTACTTTTTAAAGATGTTATAAATTAATTGAAACTTTTGAACTTATCTTGATTTTACAGATTTAGGGCAACCTTATTAACTCTATAATTTTTGATATTTTTCATAAAATAAGTATAAAAATCTTTGATTAAGCGATTTTAATTAATCATAAATTTTTAAATTATTATAAATATTATTTATTCATTATATATTAATAATTAATTAAAATATTAAGGATATAAAATAACAGCAAATTCAAGTTAATAATTATACAAAACTAAGGGGTAACAAGATCTTCTTTACTATTTGAAAGAGAAGATTATCTTCAATTAAATAATTACAATTATTAGCATCTAATATTCGTAAACTAAACATTTATATTTCATAATATTCTTTCTATTTAAATATAACATTGGATAATGGAAGGAAATGTAATTTGATTTGAAATTATTACTATTAATATATTATAGTTTTATTTAATAATCTCATACATCTAAAAATTCTACTAATAATATAGTTTCTTATGTGATAATTTTATTAGTTAATTTTTATACAATAGTTATACTATTACTTGTTGTAGTTAAGGTTAATTCTTTGTAATTTGTTTATGCTTTGAATTTAGCATAGATATTAATTGTATTAATTGATCCATGACAATAATGGTTCAAGTTATAAATCTTATTAGATCCACTACAACTATTACATTTATTCAGTTAACTATGGACTTTTTTATTATTTGATGGACATTTGTAATAAACATGAATATTAAGTAATGTAATTGATTCATTAAGTAAAATATATTCTGATTGTATTGTATTTACTACTTTATTGATCTCAAAAATTTCCAACTGAAAAGCTGGTTTCTAATCTGAATTCATTTCAAATAATTTGCTAATTCTAGCAGTAAAACATTCCATTGCTAAAAAGGGATTATCAACAGTGTATTTTAACCAATATGATGAGATTGTATTACGTGGATAAACCCCAGTGCCCCCTATTTCAATAAATTTATATCTTACATCTTGAAGTAGCATAGTCAACAACAGAGGCACCTTAATTAATTGTTGCTCTTAATACAAGGACACCATTATTTTACCCTTATTATAGTGTGCTAAAACCTAATATAAAATAACTATTAGATTTAACAGGATATTATGGACTTGTATATACACTTGAGGATGAAATTTGATCAATATAAGTGATAATTTCATCAGTTCCCAAAATTAATTAATACCCAAGGAAGAGAAAATTGGCATTCAAAGTAAAATAATTCACAGTTACTGATGTAGAAGTAAAATCAGCTATCTATTATTATATTAATGTATATCATACAGATAGACCCATATCAAATGATGCTTTATATCCAACCCCTACAATTGAAAGTATTGCTTTCTTTATATTTGGATTTTAAAAAGTAAATGATTTAGCACCTATAGGATTTAAATTAAACTCATTAATGACGATTAAGCGTTGATCATCAATCGCATACCATCTGAGATTATAAGTATTTATTCTTTAATAGGGACATGTTAATTTGATTTGAAAATCTAGGTTAAATATTATCTTTACCTGTTAATGTTACACTTACTATTTCAATTTTAGCAGTAGGTTAAGTTGAGGAAATAGAAGCAAAATCAAAAAGACTAGGATGAAAGATTAATTTTGGTATGTTTGAAAAAGAGTCTGGAAAATTAATTGTAGATGTGTATCCATTTTAGCAATTAAATCCTGATACTTAATAGGAAAACTAAGTAACTTCTCCTTAGCATTCTGTTATGATTCCTTGTACAAATTAGATTAGTAAAAATGAAAATATCATAATTAATATATGTTATTTTTAGAAGTGTAGTTAATTTAAAACATAGAAAACGCTATTAATTAATTTTTTTTTTTTGATATTAAAGTATAAAATATTATAAATTATCTTTTAAAAGCATAAAATAATTCATTTTTTTCTTTGGCTACTTATACATATTAATTGTTTTCTAAATTAAAAGAAAAAAAATTGCAATTAATTTTCTTTTTTAATTTGAATTATTTAATAAAATGATGACATTTTATATAAGTTTCAGGAAATGTTATAAATGTAGGATATTAAAAAAAAATAAATAAATTGAAATCCCATTTAATAAACTGAAATTCAATAGATATTTTATAGAATTCCAAAAAAGAAATTAAAAATGTCCAAAAACACAAATAAAAACTTTCTCATGAAGCAAACTTACTATAAACAAATCTTCTTTATTTTTGAATTAATTTTTATTCTTAGTAAAATAAGATTATTAAAATTATAATATAGTGAGAAATAAAATAATATAATCATCTTAATTCTGTCAAATCTTCAAAACTATTTCCAGTATGTTTTTTTTAAATTGATCCATATAATCATTTCATTTCCCTTTTTCCATATTTATATATATTTATTAATTCAAACTAAAGATTTCTTCTTCATTTTTTAAATGTTAATGAATATTTGATGGTTTTTCCATTATTTTAGGATCTCTCCAAATTATGGTAACTACCAAACTTTAATTCTTTTATCTTTTGATGTAGTTACAACTGTTTTCTCTAAATTAAGCCATTTTAATTTTGTTATGTCTGGATCATGAGTTTGAAAAAAAATATTATTAATTTATATGTTACAAATTAATTAGAATTTCTTGCATACCAAATATTAACAGTTCCATCAACATTTCCTACATAAATTTCACCTTTTTTTGAAAACTCACACATCTTTCCATTCTCAATTTTTTTATTTAAATTTGTTATATATTTAGCAAATTACTTCTAACCAGGATTTTATAAATCCATTTTTCTGATTAGTAGAAAATAAATAATTTCTTGAATGATCTATAAATTATCCTTCTAAAAACAATCGGTTTTTAGTAATTTTTTCATATAAAATGGCATTTATTAAAATAATTAATTTAATCTATTTTTTCTATATGATAAATAATACTTAGCATTGTCTAACAAAAATAAAGACTTTTCTACTTTCGTCACTTACTAATAAACTAGTCAATTTATACTGCTCTGCTCTGGTATAAAATCTATTTTAGATCAATTACATATCTGCTTCCAACTCTTTCATACATAAATTCAACAATTTATATTTATAATCCTTCAAAATTGAATTCAAATAATTTTTTCTTTCATAAAATATCAAATACCTCAACTAAAAGTAATTCTAATAATCAATGGATAAGAAAGATCAATTAGAAACATATTTATCTTAAATAGAATGAACAAAGATAAGATTAAATTATAAAAAGTATTGTTGTACTTCTTGATGAATAATGCCTTAGTAACTATTTTTGTGAGATCTATTAAATTAAATAGAGAAGCACTTGAAGTTTTGAGAATACTTAAAGAAAATTATTGCTTATTTTATCAGAAATGTTGATTCATTTGAATTAGTCAAAGAAAAAGTTTTAAGTGTTGCTAAAAACATAACTCATGTATCAATCTTTAAAAAAAAATGACATTGAAACATTTTTGAACTTGGCTTTAATCTAATAAATAGAAAGTGTAAGCAGAGGAGGTCCAATAGCTAAAATTCTTGAATCACTCTAAGCAAATCTCTCAGTTTCTCTTGAAGTAAATGAAATTAATACATTTTGGGAATTAGCTGGATAAGTTTCATTAAGTAATGTGAAAGTGAAAGCAATAGTTCGTAATCCTAAACCTGTTGTATTTTTGAAGATGAGATTTTATACAGTGAATCATTGGAATTATCTGCTGAAGACAGAGATTCAAATTATATTACTCCAATTGGAAATGCTAAGATTATGAGAAAAGATGATCATGTTACAATTACAGCATTTTCTAAAATGGTTGGTAATTCTCTTATAATTGCTGAATAATTATTTAGTGAGGTCATTATTTGTTAAGTTTTTAATTTAAGAAGTTATAGGCCATAAAATAGAGACAACATCACTGAGAATGCAAAGAAAATAAGAATAGAAGAAGGATGGGCTTAATCTAGTATTAGAACTGAAATTTTTCTCTAATTATGGAATGAGGAGCATTTAAATATTTGAATGCTCCTATTTAAAGAGTAACAGGTTTTGATATACTAACACCATATGCTTTCAATTTAGAAGCCATAGTATTTCCAAAAACAGAATTAATTGTTGATGGTGTCATAAACTTATTAAAAGGGGCTCATTGATTTATAATTAAATTATAAAATGGATTAATTTAAAATTCTTGGTTAAGGTGCCGAGAACATTGTCTATCAATATATAGGGGAAGATCCCAATTTTAAGGACAAAATCATTAGAATTGGTAAACCAAGAGATATATGTGAGATATCTAAAAATTTAATTATACTTTTAAATGATACAGATTGGACTCCTCTTAAAAAGTATTTCTTAAAAAAATAACCATACTAAATTGGAGATTAATAATGTTAAATTATGGATAATCTTTTTTATAATGTTGTTTTTGCTGTTGAAATAAAACCTAAAACATTCTTACCAATTTTATCAAAAAAATAAGAAAATAAAGATTTAAGTGATCCTAAGAATCAAAGATTTTTTATGGTTTCACTATTAAAAGCTTAAAAAAAATTATAAAAAACTGATAAGAATATTTATCAATGTACAAAGAAAGAAATAGATCCAATTATCTCAAAATATGATCCTAGAAAATTTTATAATTGCAAGATAGAAAATCTATTTGATTCTATTATTGATTTATCAGAAGTTCCAGATAGCAATTTGAAACTCTTTAATAATCAATAATAAAGGGTTCAAAGTATTCCAGAATTTAATATTGAAGATGTAAATAAATTTTTTATTTTTTTAGATAGCATCTATCATAAGTGAGACTTTGTTATTAGAAGATATCATTTAATAACTCAAGGGTTTTTTCCATATGATATAATAAATGAATTTTACAATTGAAGAAGCATTTGATGCATATGAACAATTAAAATAAAGAAATCTAACTAATAATTAATATTAAGAAATTGTTGAAGGAAAGTGTTAAGATCCTGAAATATCAAAACTAGCTTTTAAATTATTAACATTTTCTTCTATATAAGCTTTAAGTGATTTATCAATTATAGGAAGTTTCAGGAAAGAAGGATAAGGCAAATTTGTTGAGATTGGAAATTAAAAATTGTTTTATTAATATTCAATAATTGATTGCGATTTAAAGCCATTGAATAAAATTTATGATTACATGTCAACGATAGATGAATTAATCAAATTGAGAGATTATTACAATTCTCTTTAATGAATTATTTTATATAAAAATGAATAAATTGATACCTGCCATAGTATCTGATATTGATGGAGTATTGATAAGGGGGAAATAAATAATTCCAAATTCAGAGATCGTTGTTAAGGAATTATTGAATAGTCATTACACAAATGGAGAAAAGCATAATATTCGTATTCCCTTTTACTTATTAACTAATGGAGGAGGATGTACAGAATTAGAGAAAGCTAATTCATTAAATAGGATTATGGGTTCAAATTTTAAAAGACATCATATATTTCTGAATTACACACCTCTAAGACCAATAATGAATGAATACTAAAATAAATTAATTTTGATATGTGGAGCAGGTAATCTAACAGAAATAGCTAAGGATTGTGATTTAAAATATTTTTACACAATTGATGAATATTCTGCATTATTTGATTAAGTTACATTTAAATAATATGATGCTTAGATTATTAGATAATATGAGATTGATATTAAATAAAGACACATGGAATAGATGAAAAATAAATAAATAGAAGCAGTATTTATTGTATTTGATCCTATAAAGTGGGAAGAGAGTATTTAAACAATATCTAATTTGGTTAAAGAGAATAAAGATATACCTATTTATGTAGTAAATAATGATGTGACTTATGCAGATTATTTTAAATTACCAAGATTGGCATTTGGTACATTCACTAATGCACTCATTTCTATTTTAAAGAAAGAATATAATATAAATCCAAATATCATATATTATGGTAAACCATCTCTTAATACATTCAAATATGTATAAACATATATACATGAAAAACATGAAAATATAGGTAATATATATATGATTGGTGATAATCCTGCAAGTGATATAAGAGGAGCAAATCAAATAGGATGGCCATCTATTTTAGTGAGAAGTGGTGTATTCAGAGGAAGTGAGAATGATCCATAAGATCCTGGTAAATATGTTGTCAAAGATTTAATGGATGCTTACAATAAGATATTATAATTAGAAGGATTAAAAGTTGTTTAATGATGTTTTAACTATAAAAATTTAAAAATGGGTGCTAATTCTTCTTAGAGTGAGAAATTTGTACAAGAGTTCTAAAGATAATGTGTAAAAGTGAGAGAGTTGAAAGACTTACGTTTTGGGGATGTTTAAATTTATCGAACATAGTAGAATTCTTACATTATGGTTAAGAGTATATGGTGCAATAATTCATAAGAATATGATGCATCAATAAGTAATATAAAATTAATTGATATAGGTAATTGTGAAAAGAGATCTAAATTACAACATTAAAATCTAGTTAAACTCTTAGGATATCATTCAAATTCATAAAATTAATGGTGTGGAGATTTTTCAAAAATTACTGTATATTTGGAATTCTTTGATTACACTTTAGAAAAGTCAATTGATACAAGAAGACAAACCAATCAATACTTTACAGAAGCTGAGCTATGGAAAATGTTATTCACTATTGCTAAATTGGGAATCTATCTTGAAGAATAAAATAAAGTTCTTGGAGATATAAGACCTTGCAACATTTAATTATCAGATGATTTGAAAATGGCTGTAATAATTATACTTAACTCTTTATAGGAACTAGGTATATTGAAACCAGATTAAACAGGTTATTAAAGATAAATAAATAATCAAGAAGTTGCATATTTAAGTCCAGAACAATTATATTCACTCAACAATCCTTCAATTACTGCTAAATCAGATGTCTATTCGTTGGGAGTAACTATGTTAGAATGTTCAACTTTAATGAGTGGAAAGAATCTTTATAAATCTAATAGAATTGATGGCCCTCTTCTATAACAATTATTAGAAACTGTAAAATAACTTGGATATTCAAATCCATGGTACAGAATGGTTAGGGAATTATTAAAAGAATAGCCTGATGAAAGACCTTCATATTAAGATATTTATGTAATATCAATTATTATAATCAGGATGCCCTCAAATAATTCGAAGTTTAGATCCTTAATTTATAGCCTTTTTCACTTATATATCAATAACCTTCAATACCTTAATAATCTATATCACCATATAGACCATAATATTAATAATATTAATAATCTTTACCACCTTAACATCAATAATAATAAACTTAAAATTAAGTACCAGTTTAATTTTAATAATAATTTCAATAATAATAATAAGTTGTTTAATAACCATAGCAAATACACACTTTACCATAATAACCTACTTATTAGTATTAATAATAAGTACTTCCACAATAATAACCAATTTTAGCATCCTAATTACCTTAATAATAGACTTAATAATAACCATTATAACCTCCATAATAATCCTATATGTATTAATATTAATAACAACCTTATTTAAATGAATTAGCAAATGCTTAATCAAATTATTTTGTATAATAACAAATTCATCATTTACCTTAATAAATAGAATAGTCTCCATACCATACACTATAGTCTCCATAAAATATGACATCAACAATGTATTATTAAGAGGAAGAGTAGGATGATGGATTAAATGAAATTGACAAAAAGATTTAATAAGCATTAAAAATGACTAGGGATACTGAAATGAGAAATAAATAAACACCGAATTACTATTGATATTATAATTACAATATGATAAATCCTTAGTTATATAAATATGTTTTACTTTCTCATATTTCTTATTTCCCAAATTTATTTTATAATCATAAAAATANACACTTTAGAAAAGTCAATTGATACAAGAAGACAAACCAATCAATACTTTACAGAAGCTGAGCTATGGAAAATGTTATTCACTATTGCTAAATTGGGAATCTATCTTGAAGAATAAAATAAAGTTCTTGGAGATATAAGACCTTGCAACATTTAATTATCAGATGATTTGAAAATGGCTGTAATAATTATACTTAACTCTTTATAGGAACTAGGTATATTGAAACCAGATTAAACAGGTTATTAAAGATAAATAAATAATCAAGAAGTTGCATATTTAAGTCCAGAACAATTATATTCACTCAACAATCCTTCAATTACTGCTAAATCAGATGTCTATTCGTTGGGAGTAACTATGTTAGAATGTTCAACTTTAATGAGTGGAAAGAATCTTTATAAATCTAATAGAATTGATGGCCCTCTTCTATAACAATTATTAGAAACTGTAAAATAACTTGGATATTCAAATCCATGGTACAGAATGGTTAGGGAATTATTAAAAGAATAGCCTGATGAAAGACCTTCATATTAAGATATTTATGTAATATCAATTATTATAATCAGGATGCCCTCAAATAATTCGAAGTTTAGATCCTTAATTTATAGCCTTTTTCACTTATATATCAATAACCTTCAATACCTTAATAATCTATATCACCATATAGACCATAATATTAATAATATTAATAATCTTTACCACCTTAACATCAATAATAATAAACTTAAAATTAAGTACCAGTTTAATTTTAATAATAATTTCAATAATAATAATAAGTTGTTTAATAACCATAGCAAATACACACTTTACCATAATAACCTACTTATTAGTATTAATAATAAGTACTTCCACAATAATAACCAATTTTAGCATCCTAATTACCTTAATAATAGACTTAATAATAACCATTATAACCTCCATAATAATCCTATATGTATTAATATTAATAACAACCTTATTTAAATGAATTAGCAAATGCTTAATCAAATTATTTTGTATAATAACAAATTCATCATTTACCTTAATAAATAGAATAGTCTCCATACCATACACTATAGTCTCCATAAAATATGACATCAACAATGTATTATTAAGAGGAAGAGTAGGATGATGGATTAAATGAAATTGACAAAAAGATTTAATAAGCATTAAAAATGACTAGGGATACTGAAATGAGAAATAAATAAACACCGAATTACTATTGATATTATAATTACAATATGATAAATCCTTAGTTATATAAATATGTTTTACTTTCTCATATTTCTTATTTCCCAAATTTATTTTATAATCATAAAAATATTTTAATAAATTCAATATTTATTATTTAAGAAAGGCAGGTTAAATATTAGTTTGTTTAAATTTTGAGAAATTATATGAAATTACAATTGAAAATAAGAGATAATTATATCTTATGATGTTTTTAATGCAAAAATGTTATAATTACATTATGTGAAGATAGATAAATGTAGATTATAATGATATAGTGATCATATAAAATATTATTAGATCTTAAAAGATATTGAAAACATTTGTTATCATTAATCATATTTAAGTTTTAGATATTAATGTTAGTTATATATTTAAATAAAATGATTGTTTTCAAACATTTTCAATAAATTTATTTATAAATATTTCTATTATTGAGTATTTGACAACTCTTATGGTTTCTTTTGATGTGAATCAATCATATTTAAGATTTGAAGTATGGCTGAAAATATTATTTTTATAAATTTTATTGATCTAATGAACGCTTGCGTCATAATGAAAGATAATACCTCATTCTTAATCACATACATTTGACTCTAAGGTTCAGAAAAATAAATATATAATGAGCTATTCTACCACAGATGAGAGATTGATGGATTCACCTAAAAGAACAGAAAGCACAGATATCTAATCTGACAGTTAAATGTTTAAGAAGGGATTCAATCCATAATTTCTGGGAATTTAATAAACATCCAAAGTCACTGTACTTAATTTAGCTATTTTTAGGTGTCTAGAAGATATCTTGATACTAAAACACATGGAGTTTAATTATATTATTAAGAATTTACTCCTTAAAATGTAGATGCTCAAGTAATAATAGTCCATGGATTTGGTGAGCATTCAGGAAATTATCAATAAGTAAATTCAAATTTTATTCATACTAGTTGACAGATTGTTTTTTGTTCAATAATTTTAAAGTTTACCTCTATGATTAAAGAGGATTTGGTTATTCTGGAGGTATAAGAGGGTAAGCAACTGTTGAATAAATGCATATGGATTTAGACACTATTTTACAATTAGTAGATAGATCAGTTCCTTTATTTATATTTTGTCATGCTCTTGGTGCTTCTATGGTCATTAGTTTTTGTTTAATGAATCCTTCATTTCAATTTTAAGGACTTATATGTAGTAATGCATAATTAAGAGTGCCAGCTAAATATGGAAAATTTAAGATGCTCACTCTTAAGCTTATGACAAAACTATGTCCTGATCTCTAAGTTAATACATACCAAAATTTATCATATGCTTCAAAAAATAATCATCATATCAAAAAACTTGCAACTGATCACCTTATGCATCCTTATATGAGTATCTAATTTGCATACAATGTACTTTTGTTTTAACAATTTATCTTGCCTAATGCAACTAAATTCAGAATACCTATCTTATTATTGCATGGTAAAGAGGACAAGATTGCATCACATTTAGATTCCCTTGATTTCTATAGAATTATATAATCTAAAGAGAAAACACTCAAAATATTTGAATAGGGATTTCATGAATTACATAATGATTCTGAATGGCCTAAAATGAAAATACTCATTACATAATGGTGTACAAAAATGTTAAGCAAAGATATCAAAATTTCCTTTATGAGAGAACACCATTATGGAGTTGTTGTTAAACATTACAGAAGCAAAATTAGAATTATTTTAACAATTCTTCTAATTTTATTTAGAAAGTAATTGATTTTATAAATTCTATTAGAAAATACATATGTTTAAAAACTAGTACTAAAATTAGTATCATAATATTTATAGAGTTACTTCTAAGAGTGTTCATATCTAATTGAATATTTGTAAATTGTTTTATATATATACTAATTAATATATATAATGAAAAATAACAGATAAAATTTTATTGATTTGATTATCCATCTTCTTGATCTAGAGGAATAAATAGAAAATACAAAGATTCATATGACTTCAAATGAATACTTCACTCTTTATAGAGCATTTCAAATAATTGATGAGTAAAATACAAATTAAATAACACCAGAAGCAATTTCAAAATTAACTTCTAAACCTATATAATAATGCATCTTATTAATTGAATATTACTCTGAATTTAAAGATAATAAGTTGTCTTTTGCTAACTTTATGAATTTATGTTTACCAAGAAGTAAACCTTAATTAAGAGCATAATTAACATAAAAACTATAAAAAACTATTGGTTCACCTGAAGAACAAGAATTAATAAAAGAACATTTATCTATTCTAATAGCTAATGAAATTTATTTCTTATAATAAATTAAACAATATCCAATAGAAATAGAAGGGTTGTTAGAGTACCCATTCAAATAAAAAGATTTAAATTAATTAGTAAGTGATTTTGGCTATAAAATAAATACAGAAGTTATTTGGAAGAGATTGGATTTTGATTAGAATGGTATTGTTACTTATGAAGATATGAAGAAATTATTTAGAGAGTATGAATAATAATTAGATGTAAATGAATAGGATAAGGATTAATTAAGAAATAAGGATATAAAGTTGGGATGGATAAATAATAAATCATGTCCATATCATTCATATACAAAATAATTTAGAATGAGCATTCAAAATTTTTAAGAATTTGATAAATAAAAAAGTATATTAAGGTAAGAAATATTTATAAGTATAGATAAAATGAATGGAAATAAATAAGAAGTTTTTTGTATTTGATAAAAGAACATAGTTAGATTTATTAATAGATAGATTAATTATTAGAGAAATTAAATAAATATGATACTTTGAAATTGTTTGAATTATTAAGTATTAATGATAGATTAGAATTTCAACATTTATAAAATAAGATATAAGAAATTGTAGGATAAGAATTTTTGTTAGATTATTCAGATGTAGAATAATTGATGAATTTTTTTGGTGGATAAAGTTATGAAGAATTTAAATGTTCATTAGAATGCAGTAGGATATTTGAGAGAAAGCAACCTATCAATATGAATGTATTGAAAATGTTATTCATAAAATTGATATTGTTATTGTAATTAAGTAGATATTTGAAATAATAATACAAAAAGAAGGCTTTAATATAGAATAAGGACTTGTTGAATGAGTTTGGAGTGTTCTCTTAGTCAAATGTTTTGTTGATGGCAAGGAAGGCCAAGGTAGAATTAAGTTTGGATGAAGTTAATGGATTTTTTAAAGGTGAAGAAGTTCTGGAAGTTAGGAATGTTATGAGTTTTTTGAAATGATTTATAATATATAAAATTATGGAAGAAATTGTGACTGGAGAAGATGATGTTGAGCCGTAATTTACATTTATTGCACACACCCGAACAACATAATACCGCATTTAAGTGATGAAGAAACAAATTGATATAGCTTCTATTAATAGCCTAGATTAAATTTAAGTTCCTTTAAGCATAGATTAAACTATCTATTGGTTATATGAAGAAGGTTAAGAAATAGCTTTTGGATTAAGATAGGGTGATCTTATTAATTATTACTATGGAGATAAGAGTGAGTTGTCTCATTTTCGTATATTGATTGGCTGTAAAATTTCATTTGGAACATTTAAATAAGATTATTTGGTTGGTGACTTATTAGGAAAAGGCACATTTTCAGAAGTATTAGTTCTTCTATGACCAGGTGATAAAGGTGACCTGTTTGAGAGATGGCAAGGACTATGCTTTAAAGAAAATCAAATTACGTAATGAGGCGCATTTAATCAATATTGAAATTGAAGTTGCTATTTTACATAAGTTAAATCATCATGGAATTATCAAATTACATGATGTCTACCAATTAAATGAAGACACTTATGGGTTAATTACTGAATTAGTTATTGGATAATCACTAGATTCAATTATTAATAAACAAAAGGTAACAATTTAAATTATGTTTTAGTAAAAAAAGAGTAAATTAGAAGAAAGAGATATTTAAATGATTCTTAAATAAACTCTTGAAATTATAGATTACTTACATTAAAATAATATAATCCATAGAGATATTAAACCATAACATATGATTTTATGTTAAAATAAAACGATTAAGATATTAGATTTTGGTTTAAGTTCTTATGAAAGTTAAATGTCTTATAAATGTGGCACTCCTGGTTATTTACCACCTGAATCATTTCGAGAACAATCATTATATACATCTAAAGGAGATATATTTAGTTTGGGAGTTGTTTTTTATAGGTTATTGAATAGAGGAGTTAGTTGTTTTGATGCAAACACACTTGAATCAGTAATGAGTAAAAATAGACGTTGCACCATTGAATACCAAATCAATGGATACTCATCTTAGGCTCTGGTACATTTTTGAAATGAATTCTAAGCATTTGCTCAAATAAATGCTTCAAAAAGATCCAGTCTTGAGAATCAATTCACATGATGCATTGAATCATACTTATTTCACTGTCCCCCGAGAATCCCATAATCTTAAGGAAGACAAAGGGAATATTTATGTTTACTAAGCTCATCCTAGGCCATCCCATTTATCAAGAACAAATAGTGGTGATTTAGAGAAAACTTCAAAATGATTGTAAATTTTTATTAAATAAATGTTCATAATGTTTCAATTCTTCAAATTCTTTATGTTTATTTATTTTTTATAATTTAGATAATAGATTACATAGTAATTATATATATATATATATTGAATTTGATAGAGTTTAAAAATGATAGGAATTTACATTTTAGATAATTAGTTTGTAAATTAATCTGTTTGTTATGTAATATATATAAGATAAGATTAAATAAGAAGAAAATTAATAAAATATTATAGTAGTAATTATATTAGTCAAGTATTTATCAATAGATAATCATAATTATTTTTATAATGTTAACATATACAGTCATAATAGACGATTATCAAACTATTGATGATAAAGTTTATTATTAGATCAACATTAATTGTTTAGAAGGACATAAGAAGATATCCAAACGATATTCTGATTTGAAAGCTTTGAATGATAAAATAATAGAAAAAAATTCTAACTTTAAACTTCATTTAAATTTGCCTTAATTTCCAGGCAGAAAGATTTTTGGAAGAACTAAAAATTCTGTTGCAGGAATTAAATAGAGAGTATTTTATAAATTCTATATAGGGAAAAGAATTATAGAAATATTTGGAAGAGGTTTTAAACATTAAATAATTGTAATCATTTTTATCTGTTAAAGAATTGTTACCTCATTAACAATTATATTAAGAAACTCTTTAATTACCTCAAGGTGATGAATATGATAAAGAAGTTTGTTGGTTATAAATGGATGAATTAAAGCGATCTTTTTTAGAAAGACAAGAAATTAAAACACCAAAGAACAATAAGTCTAAAAGCAAGTCTAGCTTAAATACTACTGGATATGTTTAGAGATATCATTTTAGTATTGATGATTATGAAATTCAGTAAGATGTAGTCTTATATACAATAACATTAACAGATGCTAAAAAGACAACAAATTATTAATTTACATCAAGATATAGTGATTTAAGAGAATATCATAAATTGCTTAAAAAAGAAAACTTAAAAGTAGTATTACCTGATTATCCAAAAAGAAAGATTATTTCTTAAACAAATGAGAATCCTTTATTCATCTAAGAAAGATTAGAATAACTTTAAAAATACCTTAATGATGTATTTGCAATAAAAGAATTAGTTTAAAGTGAACCATTATAATATTTTATAACAAGAATTAAATTGGAAGGTAAACCAATTAGAGTAGGCCCTGTTCAATAAAAATAGTAAATATGTACTAGTTCAGTTTTATATGAGAGTCAAGAGAATTTACCTGAAAGAAAAAGCTCTTTTTGAATTTGACTTAATCTAAAATGTTTATTGCTTTTTCTTTTAATTTGATTTATAGATAATATATTTTATATATATTACAAATTATGGGTTGTACAAGTTAAAAGTAGACTAGATAATAAGAGATTAAATAGTATGATCCAAAACTATAGTAAATTGTAACAGTTCCAGTCTTGTATGATGCTAAGACTAATCCTATTGTAAAAAGGAGATTATAATAAGATTGTCAATCATAATCAGAATAGAATAGAACACCAACAAGATATTGAATTAAATATGATGTACTAAAACAATAATTATTTCAAACTCTTAATTTTTATTTTACTAAATCCCATAATCTTGGATAATCCTTTTTTCCTTTCTTAACTTCAAAATCTATAACTACTCCCATAGCTCTATATCTATCCAACAAAGGATGAGTCTTTTCTTCATATTCCTTCATTCTTTATTCAATAACCTAAAGATTAATTTTATTATTATACTTCTTTTTTATCATCATCTCTAACCACTAATTTACCACCACAAGCATCACAAATACCTTCTTTCTTTGGATTTAATGGTTCCATAACATATCCATCTCTATTAATATCACAAATATTGAAAGCAGTTCCACAACCAACACATGTACGACGACTTACATATTTTTATTAAATAATACGCAGCTAATTTTTCAAGTAAAATATCAGCTCTTAAAGTCACATTAACAACAACATTTGTTGGTAAAATCTTTTCATATAAGTCTAATTATCTTAATGTTCTTGGGAATCCATCTAAAATTACACCTTTTGCAGATTCTGGCTCTTTTAATTTTTCTTACAAAATATTCATCACAATTTCATCTGACACAAGACCACCTTTTGCTACAATGTCTTTAATTGTAACAATTAATTTTTGATCAAATGATTATGATGTATTTCCTTTCAAAATCTTACGAATTTCATCTCCTGTTGAAATGTGGTTAAATTTAGTATCCTTAATCAATAACTTTGCAAATGTTCCTTTACCAACCTAATTTCATATTAATTAACTTTATTACTCCAGGGGCACCAAATAAAACAAGGAATTATTATCCTGGCTTAGCAACACTAGCTGCATATCTTATTATGAGATTTTTCATATCCAATATATATTTATTTAATGTAATAATCACTCTTATATTACTATATGAAGTATATAAAAAGACATTTGAAACCAATAAATCATCTCTCTCTCTTCCCCTTACAATACTAGGTTGATATTCTAATTTTTTTATGTGGTCTAAATTAAAAAAAAAAATATTAAATTGATGATGATCTAAAATTTTATTCAACAGCTTTACTCATATAATTTAAATACAAAATATCCCTAATTGATAGAATCTAATATATAATATCTAAGAAACTTAGAAATCGAAAATTTTTATAATCATATATAAGTCTAAATTAGATCTTTAAGAATAAAGAATATCAATATTACATTTAATCCAAATAAAAATTATAATTTAATAATTTGAAGAATTTTAAAAGAGATTTCATATCTTCATAATTTATGTTCATCATTTTCTATTATTTTAATACTTACTAGATTCTTAATAAATTTAATAATTACCAATCATTATAATTATAAATATAGTTGCAACTATGTANCTCTATATCTATCCAACAAAGGATGAGTCTTTTCTTCATATTCCTTCATTCTTTATTCAATAACCTAAAGATTAATTTTATTATTATACTTCTTTTTTATCATCATCTCTAACCACTAATTTACCACCACAAGCATCACAAATACCTTCTTTCTTTGGATTTAATGGTTCCATAACATATCCATCTCTATTAATATCACAAATATTGAAAGCAGTTCCACAACCAACACATGTACGACGACTTACATATTTTTATTAAATAATACGCAGCTAATTTTTCAAGTAAAATATCAGCTCTTAAAGTCACATTAACAACAACATTTGTTGGTAAAATCTTTTCATATAAGTCTAATTATCTTAATGTTCTTGGGAATCCATCTAAAATTACACCTTTTGCAGATTCTGGCTCTTTTAATTTTTCTTACAAAATATTCATCACAATTTCATCTGACACAAGACCACCTTTTGCTACAATGTCTTTAATTGTAACAATTAATTTTTGATCAAATGATTATGATGTATTTCCTTTCAAAATCTTACGAATTTCATCTCCTGTTGAAATGTGGTTAAATTTAGTATCCTTAATCAATAACTTTGCAAATGTTCCTTTACCAACCTAATTTCATATTAATTAACTTTATTACTCCAGGGGCACCAAATAAAACAAGGAATTATTATCCTGGCTTAGCAACACTAGCTGCATATCTTATTATGAGATTTTTCATATCCAATATATATTTATTTAATGTAATAATCACTCTTATATTACTATATGAAGTATATAAAAAGACATTTGAAACCAATAAATCATCTCTCTCTCTTCCCCTTACAATACTAGGTTGATATTCTAATTTTTTTATGTGGTCTAAATTAAAAAAAAAAATATTAAATTGATGATGATCTAAAATTTTATTCAACAGCTTTACTCATATAATTTAAATACAAAATATCCCTAATTGATAGAATCTAATATATAATATCTAAGAAACTTAGAAATCGAAAATTTTTATAATCATATATAAGTCTAAATTAGATCTTTAAGAATAAAGAATATCAATATTACATTTAATCCAAATAAAAATTATAATTTAATAATTTGAAGAATTTTAAAAGAGATTTCATATCTTCATAATTTATGTTCATCATTTTCTATTATTTTAATACTTACTAGATTCTTAATAAATTTAATAATTACCAATCATTATAATTATAAATATAGTTGCAACTATGTACAGAATATTAATACTGAATATAAAGTTAGATAAATTTGATTTAAATAATTAAATTTATGAAATAATTCCTTTTCAATCTGACTTTGCGATATTATTTTATTAAAAAATGATTAGATCGTCTTAGATAGATGTTATTTTTAATTTTTAATTGAAGATATTTATACAAAATAATTTATTTAATTATATTAGGAAGAATTATAAATGGAAATAATTGATAGTTTTTAAAAGCAAATAGTTTTACTTATTAAAGATTCAGTTTATTTTTTTATATTTCTATAAACGATTCTGTTAATCAGAAATTTATTAAAATCTCTCAAATTCTTAACAAATAAAGAATATGAAATTAATCGATAATATTTAACATATAAATGATAATGAGATTTATATTTATTACTTTTTACTTAAATAAATATATAATTTTTTTCAATAAATGTTGGTTTCATTATAAAATAATTAATTTGCTATATATCTATTTTCTTTATTAGTAAAATTCAAAAATATATTAATTATTTAATCTTTCAAAAATTTGTCCAAAACTTGATTAATTATTTATTTTTGGCTTTGGGAATTTTTACAAATAGTAATGATATCAATTTAGTTTGTGGACAAATAATCATCTAAAATATTTAGCCCTTACTTAAAAAACCTATATATTAATATCTTTGGGAATATGATAGGATGAGAATTCTTATAAAAACTTGTTATAATTAATTAACATTAATCAATTATCTCGTTTATTATCTCTCTATAAGATTTGGTTAAATTTTAAGCTTGCATATTATTGCAAAACTTTGATATTTTAGGAAATAAAGAGTTATATAGATTGTTTTCGTATGACTGTATAGATTAAATTAAATTTTGACAATTAATCTTTGTTGCTAAACTAGAACTATTTTAAATTTATTTTATATCATTTAATGCTTCTTCAACCTAAAAAGTATAAAAAAGGTAATCTTCTAAATAAGTGTTTTATTTCAACTCCTTGAATAATTCTAAAAACCATCCATCAATATTTAGTTCTTTAGCTAAATCTTGTATAGAAAGTTGTGTACAATTTTAGGAATTTATAAATAATTTCTGATGCTTTATTGCCCAATTCAATAGGATATTTCTATAGAATTATCCATTTTACTATCCAAATTATTTTTTAAATTCTTCATCACTAAGTTTACGGTTTTACAAAAAAATTTCAATTGTTTTATAATCATATAATCCATTTTTTTATTATTCTTCTGTATATTAATTTTTATATTAACTTAATGTTTAAATAATTTATTTAACATTTTATTAAATATTGAAATCTAATTTATTTAGTTAATTATCTTATTAAAATATCTCTTTAATGACTTTTTTAACACAATAAAAATCAATTTTGTCTAAAAGTCCTATATTTTTTGAAACTTTATTCCACCTCGAAAAATAAGCCTTAAATTCTATTTAATTATTTAATTTAGATGAAAGAGGTTTAGAAACCCAAATCCATATATTTTCAGTTTTAATATCATTATGAGTTATATCAAATTCTTGTAATTTTTTAAGTGATTCTAAAATTTGAATTGATATAAGGATTAGCTAGCTTTAACTTATTGCCAAAATACTATTATCCTAAATTAAATTACTGTTATTACTTTAAAAAATAGTAAATCCTTCAAGTTTATATATTCATATGAAGGAAATGAATATATCATTATATTTTACACATAATTTATGTAAACGACTTCATCATTCAATTCTTGAATTAGTTTTAGATACTCTTCATTAATATCTTTTGTACTGTGAAATTGATATTAAATGAGTGCAAGGGATTCCATAGCAAAAATTATTGAAATTATTCATATAAGCAAGTGCGTATTTCTATTAATTTAGATAATTAAATTTAATAGTTGAATAAAATGAGAAATTATTAAAAAAATAATGAAAAATTGCATAATATTGAATTAAAGTCATGAAAAGCAGTCAAGGAATATATCACTTTCATCATTTGGTTCCTAATATATATTATAATTATATATTTACTTCTTAAAATACATAAATATTTCTTTCACTTATATATTAATAGTTTTTGCTTATAATTTCATGTACAAAATATTACTCATCCTAATATAATGAATTGATATTACATCATCATTTCCTACCCAATCTTATCCTCTCCATACATAAACTTATAAAACTTATTTATTAATTTCTTTTATTAAAATAAATAATTAAGATTAATCTAGATCCTCTAAATCGAACATCAATAGAGAATCATCTGAATTTGGATATATATAAAATGCCTTTTTTTCAACATGAACTTCCTCAAGTCTGTCTGAACTATATAATTAAATATTTGATTCTTTTTCTTTATTAAATTCATTTTCATCAACTTCTTCATACCATTAATCCCATTCTCTTATTTTTTAACAAATAATCCCAGGTTTACCAACTATTCCCCATAAACCCCAAAACATTTCTGATTCATTGTCTGCTTCCATCAATATAGGTTATATATTAGGGGCTTTCTCAAATTATTTCAAAAATTTAGTATAATCAAGTGCATATTGAATGAATCTATTTATAAATAATTAAATACTTACTTCTCTGTTTTATTACATTCAGGACCAATCCATAAATAAAAATCATGTTCAGTCAATACTAAAAAAACTCCTCTACTATCAAATGTTCTCAACACTTTGCCAGAATATAATTAATCCATCAACATTCTACATACAATACTTTAAGGTCCACTAACTCCTCTTCCAACTGCAAATACTCTAGGAGCAATAGGTATACTATCATATGAGGCTTGTAATCTTTTTTAAAATAATAACAATTAGACTGTAAATCCCATATTAGGAGATGCTACTCCTCTATTTTTCTTAATAATATCAAATGCTTAAGAATAAGTAATTTATTAAGATATTATTAAATAAGCTATACATAATGAGACAGATCTTGATACTCCTTAAACACAATGAATCAACACTTTTCCATTACTCTTTTTTGCCTTTTCAATTATACCAATAACTTCATAAAATATACATTCAATATTTTCTGTTTTTGAATCTTTGAGATAATATGTCTAATAAAAGAAATCATCAGGATATTTATTTTTACATACATCTCCTGCACAATTTACTACATGAGTGACTCCAATTTATTTTAAGACCTCTTTATTGTAAGCTATTTATTCACCTCCAACATAAAGGAAATTAGGAATAACAGATGAACATTATTCTGCAAAATGTTAAATTTTTAATTTTTTTCTATCTGTATCTCTTATATCAAAATTAAATCCATTTGAATCCTCTTCCTCAATATCTTAATATGTAGTATCATCTCTTTATAATTTAAGACTTGCTAATGGTAATTTCATAGGTTTGACTTTTTCATTTTCATTACACTCAACACCTTCAATTAATGGAACACCTATACTGACTTCTTGAGAATGAGTTTTGCAATTTAAATCTAATTTTGGAATATTTATTGCAGGAACTTTGTTTTTAATTTATGCAGGTAAATTAAATTAAAATGCATTATTATTATTAATAATTGGTTATTGTTATGGACTAGTATCTTCATATCTATAATTTTCTCTTGAACGACTTGAAATTGGTTTTGAACTTTCTTTTGAAATAGATCCTTCATTAGATATTTCATTTATATTATTTTTAATTTCATTTGAATTTCTTCTAGGAAATGCTAATTCTTTAAAAACATCTCTTGGTTATGCATCTCTACTAGTTAATGATTCTCTTAGATTTAATTTAGGCTTTTGAATAATTTTATTAGTATTTTAATTTTAAAGTTGTTCATCATTCAAATCAATATGAATAAATTATTAAGCATATGCTTATGTATTTTATTTTTTTGCTAAAAAATCTGCTAATTTAGAGAATTCCTTTTTCTTTTCAGGAATTGGAAATAGAAAATTAAACAAATATACTGTTTCTCTAACTTAATTTTCAGTTTCTCTATTAGTAGTTGATGATGTTTAAGCACTACTTTATAATGTCAATATTGATCCTTTAGACAACTTTTTATTTTTAATTATGCCACCACTAAAGAGTATTTCCAGTAAAGGATCCCTTCCTCTATTTAATAAATTTTCTAATTCAAAAGCATTTGATAAAGCTGATGCTTTAATTAAGGGATTAGCTGTTTTGCCATTCCACACAAAAATCATGTATTCGTAAATATTTGACGTTGAAGGATTTTATTATCTTTAAGGTAATAAAAATGATTCTAGATGACTTTCTGATGCTGCTACTGGTTCTTCTAATCCTCTTGGAGTTAGATTAGAATAAGATTCAACAACACCCCACATTTAATGTGGAAAATTTGTAAATTGATTGTACTCTATATTAATTAAACAATATTATACCTTCTTAGGCCTTTTTATATACTAACAATACAAGATAGCATTCAGATGAAAGAAAATTAAAACCACTAGTTTAGATAGTACTTAAATTGATAGGTTCAGATCTAACTTTCTTTAAAGGGTGTTTTTCCTCTTAAAATTTCCAAATCTGATAATTTTGAAATATATATACTTTTAAGTGTTAAGTTATGCTTTCAGGAATGTTACTATCAAATTTAATCTTCTCTAATAATTTCGTATTGAGTTCTAAAATGTCCTCTAAATTTGAAACATGCTTATCTATACTCAATTTAGATCCCATAATTTATATATATAAAATAATAATTATTATTTAGAATAATATTTTCAAATATCATCCACATATAATCTCACAGTAGATTCCCACTATAAATATATATTCAATTATTTTATTTAACTAAATAAATTTTAATATTTTTAATGGATTAAAAAATTTATACAATTATAGGTGTGATGTCAGGAACTTCACTTGATGGAATAGATTTAGCATTAATTCAATTTGAAATCAATAACTAAAAATGGTAATATAAAATATTGAATGCTAAAACATATTTATATGAACAATCTTGGATTGATTTACTTAAAAATGCTCATACCTTATAATAATGTGAAATAGAAAGTTTTAATCTAAATTATACTCATTATTTAGCATAATAAATTAATAAATTCATATGTAAATATTAAGATATCAAAATTGATGCTATTTGTTCTCATGGACATACAATAATACATAAACCAAAAGATGGAATTACAATATAAATAGGAAACTTACCAATTTTAGCCCAACTTATTAAGAAAACAGTTGTTTGTGATTTTAGAGTTTAAGATGTTAAATTAGGTGGAAATGGAGCACCATTAGTACCAATTGGAGATAGAATTCTATTTCATAATTATTATTATCGTATCAATTTAGGTGGATTCTCAAATATCTCATTTGAAAGAGATAATATTACTCTTGCATATGATATTTGCCCTGTAAATACAGTTCTAAATAGACTTGCTTTTCCTAAAAACTATGATGAAAATGGAGATTTATCAAAAAGTGGAAATGTCAATATAAATTTATTAGATTAATTAAATAATTTGGAATATTATAAACTTTCACATCCAAAAAGTTTAGGAGTAGAATGGGTTTATGATTGTATTTTACCTTTAATTGATTCATTTAATCTATCTTAATAAGATAAACTTTGTACATTTTGTGAACATATTGCATATTAGATTGGAAAATCAATAGAGAAGAAAGATGAACAAGTTCTATTTACAGGAGGTGGTGTATAAAATAAATATTTAATGGAAAGAATAAATCATTATGTTAAAAATGTTTAAATCTTAGATCAATAAGCATCAGATTTTAAAGAAGCTTTAATTTTTGGATTACTTGGAGTATTAAGATTAAGAAATGAAATTAATGTATTGAGTAGTGTAACAGGAGCAATTCATGATCATTCTAGTGGATTTATTTATAAATATTAAGATAATTGAATATAGAATTAAATTTATTATAATATATTTTAATAGTCATAAAGATTTACTTTTAAAAGGATTTTTTAAATTTGGAAAACATAATTACTTTACTTAATTTTCTATTGGATGAGATATCTCAAAATTCTTCTTGAAAAATTAATGTTTAAGACAAATAGAGGCTGAAGGTCGATGCTTCTTATGTCCAATCATCAAAAGTAGAAGTTATCTTTATTCTATATCCATTATCTTTGAAGATACTTTGACTTTGTTTAATTTATTCAAGAAAAGTAAATGATTCTTATCCTAATATTCTGGATACAGTTTTTATCCAGATAATAAAGAATGATATATGCTTCCTAAACTATAAATATCAACTGATTCATCATAATCTTCTTGATTTAAAATCTCAGGAGCCATATATCCAGGTGTTCCACATCTTACTTAAGTTTAATGACCAAATTCTACTGCAAAACCAAAATCAATTATTTTTAAAGATTTTATATCATTTTCATTTTCAAAAACGATATTATCTAATTTTAGATCTCTATGAATAATTCCTAATTGATGTAAATGTTTCACTCCTTTTAATAGCCTCTTCATGATATATTTGATCTCTTTTTAATCTAAGACATTATTTCTTTAAAGTAGATAATTATAGAGAGTTCCACCTTGACAGTACTTCATAACAAATATTATTTCATTTAAATCCTTATAAACTTCATCAATTTCGAGAATATTTTTATGTTTTTATCGATTTAATTCAAAAACTATATTTAACTCCTGCTAAAGTTTTTGCTAAAATAATAATCAAAGTATACTTATAAATTAATTTTCGTTATTTTAACTAATTTTAGTTCTCCTGTTTCAATTTGAATATATTTGGAAATCTAATCAGCCTTATTATAATATCATTACTTAAACATCCTCCTTTTATATAAAAGAACTTTAAAATTAATAATGTTTATTAAAGTCTGTGTACAAAACTATCCCATTTAGTAATTTCTTTAATTATTTCAACTTCTCTGCATCACCTAAATAAGTTAGCGACTTTTAAGACTTAGAAAAATTGCAGCAATAAGAAACTTTAAACCCTTAAATCTGATTCTCACTATATTTTATATTATGTATTATACTTATATATCCAACTTATTGATGTTGTCTAAGATGTAAGTTCTATAGATCTTTCACTTTATTCATTTTCAACTTCAGGATTAGACTAATCTTAGTTTGTATTATTTATCACTAAATTTCTTTTGTACAAGAATAAATTTCTGGGTAAATTGTTTTTTGCATTTCTTACATCACAAGCAAATATGAGATCTTTATTCATTCTTATTTATAAATATAAATTATAAGAATCAAGAAAGCAATAATCGAATATATAAATCCAAATTAAATCTTTAAGAATGTGAAATAATGACTAAAGAGGATTTACTTTAATAAAAATCAAAATAAAATTATATACTCATATTCTGTCTTAAACTGTTCCTAACAACCATCAAATTTTACATTAATCTAATTGAACTAGACAAGCTGATTCTTATAATATAAGGATTGAAGCCTTGAAAAAGTGATATGATTTTAATATTTTGATAAAATATAAAACGTTTTAAATATTAACTATTTTTAACAAATTCATTAAAAATTTAGTGAATAAATATGAAGGTTGTCTAAAACAAGGCTTTTAAATTCAGACATCATTCATTTAATCTATATACCAAAGACAAAAAATAGGAAACAAAATTTAAATTTTTTCATAAATAATAAATATATAAAGATTAATTATAATTTGCAAATTAATTTAATAAAGTTCGGTTTAAAATTAAATTTATTATAGTTATTTAGAATTCTCTTATTGATTGAAGTATTGTATAAAACTTCTATAGGGTATTATTCTTTACTCATTTATCAACTTATTAAAGATTAAATAACAAATCTAAAATTTCACAAATTAATTTGTCTCAAAAGTCTTGTACTTTGCCATTTAAATTTATATATCTTATTTATGAGTGATTAAGAAATTAAATAATGTATAATTTATCAAAAAAAATATTTTATTTATAGTTCTTACAAAAAAGAAAAAATAATCACTATTTTTAATAAATATAGGGTAATTTCAATGATTTTAACACGTATTACCTAAAAAAATGTTATAAATTTGATCAGTTTTAATTATAATAAAAAATATTTTTTAATTGAATTAATTAGAAATATCAAAGATTGCATTCTATTATCGTGCTATGTTATATTAATCATTCATAAAAGTTATTTGCACTTTTTATTCAATTGTGATTTATTTTTTTTATTTTATAATAGCAATTTCTATATTGATATTAGTCTAATTTTATATGAGTAATTAGATGTCTTCCTATTTTAGTTACTAAGTTTTCTAATTATTTGTTTTATTTTCTAATACGCACATCGAGAAATATAAAATATTTAATATTAAATAATATATTTTAAGTAAAATTTATATAAATTATCAATAAGATTAAGCAAATGATTAATAAGTAATTAGCATATAAAAATCAGTGTTTTAAGCTCTAAACTATATTAAGAAATAATTAGAAGTCCAGATATATATGAAATAAAAAAAAAAATATTTAAGTTATTAATGATTCAGCTCTAATCTACTTTTTTAGCTATGGTAAAGATTTCTTGTCTTATAGATTTATTATAAATTTTAGGATATCTAGTATTAGTAGTAAAATCAGAAGGGTTTGAATTTTAGTGAAATAATTTATTGTAAACACTATCTTACATGTACTTTCTTATTGATATAGATGGAATAGGCTCACGTGTAGATTTAATTGTGCATTTAAAATCTTTGGGATTAAGTTCATCTTTTTGAAATTTTCTAGAGAAATCTCCTAATACTTCAAAACCTTCAATATAAACATCTGTATAATTTTGAGGTTCTGAAGGTTTTGGATAAACAGTAGTGAGAAATCCTCTTTCAGTTTTCCATTTGTCTTTAGAATGTGTTTTCCATTATGGAAAATAGACCATAGTCATATCTTTAGCGGTATCGTCTATTATACTTTTATTATATTAATTTGCTTAGTCAACTTGATCTTTTCTTAACTTGGGCCTGTTTTCATAAGACCATTAAGGTCCTTCTAATAATTGAACTCTTTCTCTTAATTTAATTTTAGGACCTTCAATGTATTATTCTCTAGGCAAATGGGATTGTGAGAAATCATCAACAATATATTAGATTCTTTGGTTGTTGGTGAGAAATCTATTTAGTATAAGGAGTAAAACTTAGAAAGAGTAATGGGTTTGGTATTATCTTTTGGTAATTTGGAGATTGGATAAAGTCCATTAAGTAAGCCTTGGATAAGGATAGGTAAGATTACAATTAGCAAAGGCAGGATGAAGTTATTGAATAAAGTGTTTTTGACGATCATTAAAAGAGTTGTTGAGTATGACATTATGTTTTTTTTGTTGTTTTTGGATTAGAGAGAGAGACAGTTCTTTTCTTTTGTTGGAAGTAATTATTCATGAAAATAAAATAAAAATGGCATACGAAAATTGTGTAGTTTGTGGGAAAAAATAAGATGGTTTATAAAAGTTGTTACCTGATTTTAGATCAAGATAACATAACAAATACATACATAAGATGTGTCTACTTTTATTTCGTTCTGATTGGAATCATCGAGTTGCTGTGAATGAAGGATTATATTATAGTGATTACCGAAGACATTGTTCAATATGTAATAAACGAAGTAAGTAATAAGTGGTGAGATGTGCACATAGGTATAAACTTTAATTATGTAATCCAGTTCATGTAGAAATAAATTTCATTTAGAGTGCTTAAATAATCCTGTAATATAAGTAAACAAAAATTCAAGGAATCATTATCCAAAATTAGATGTTTATTGTCATGAGCATTCTCTTAATTTAACTAAAACAAATAATTTGGATGAGTGTGTTGAATCTATTTTTAATGAACATCTATTAAATTAGGAATAAGAACCTGGCTAAATTTAGAAAAGCAAACATAAAAAAAAACATAAGAAGAAACATTCTCGATCAAGGTCGAGATCTTATAAGAAAACAAAAAGACGATCCAGTAGTTAATGTAGATTTAGTGATAGTCAAAGTTCAAAGTCATCAAAATAATAACATAAAAATCATTCTCTTCCTGAAAAAGGCAGTTTATTAATTATACCAGAAAGCAAGATTACTGATTGTATGATAAGAGAAGTCAAAATTTTAACATAAGGTCCTATATTAGAAAAAGAAGAATCATATATTGAACATTTACCAATTCCATAACCTATTCCTTAACCAATTATTTAATAGAAGGAGATTGAAAAATAATAAATTTATCCTTAAACATAAAGACCATTTATTGAAGATCCAGAATTTCCATATACAGAAAGAGAAAATAAAAGAGATTAATCTATTTTTAAATGGTGGGAAAAAATTGAAGAAATATATTTTAAAGGAGAAGAGAAACTATTAAATACAAAAGTTGAAGAATTTTAGAATCCTTTTGAATGGTCTAATTAAGGTATAGATGAAGATTTACTCAATTATGCTGATTAAATGAATATTGGTATTAATTCTTATACTTATTATTATTATTAGAGCCAATTATATAGTTGAGATTTCAATGTAGAGGAAGCATTAATGTTTTAATAAGATGTTCAAAAGCTCAGTATTAGTACACTAATTGTAAAAATCTTTTAGTTTCATTCGATATAGTTTTACTGAGCATGTAGGCAAAGCAACACCAAAAGGACTATTGAGGACTAACATACAATTGTATAGATATTTATAAGAAACAGTTGATATTCCTACATATTCTGATAAAGAAATAGTTGGCAAAGATCTAATTTATTTAGAAGGTTGTGAATTAACTAAATAAGAATATTAGGATTGTTTTGAATTAGAATAAAAAATTAAAGAAGTTAATTCTAAATTGGAATCTCAATTAGATATTGAAAGTGATACAATCTAATAATTCGATATTGTTTATCATATCTTGAATAAAGAACTAATCTCTATTGTTTAATAAAACAATCAATTTAGAGACTAAATCAATTCTTAGATTAATGATTACAATTTTAAAATACTAAACACTTAATAACAATTACTTATAGATTTATTGAAGTGGTCTTAAATTGTCAAAGCCTTTATAAATGGATATAAAGATAAAAATGAAGATGTTTTAAATTCTTTTTTTCCTTGCTAATTAACATTAACATCCTAATCATCATAAAAAGCTTAATAAAAGAAAAAGAAAATACATTCTAAAGAAAATACTTAACCTTTAGATACTGATTGCAAAATCTGTTTTGATTATCATTATACAGATTTCAATCCAGTTATCTATTGTGGAAAATGTTCAACATCTTTTCATAAGAATTGTTATGGTTTGACTGGATCATTAGATGAAGATGATGTTATTTGTGATGCATGTTCTTATGAATCTTCAAAAGTGTATTAATTTAGAAGAGGTATATCTATTATAATTATAAGGTGCTGCAAAATGTAGAATATGCAAAAAATTAGGATTACCATAAAAGTATATTAGAAACTATTTTTATCATGTTTCTTGTTTACTTTTAACTAATTAAGTTATATTATCAGATGGTGTTTATGATGTTAGAAATAGAAAGAATGATATTAAATAATTTTGTAAAGATAATGAATCAAGTACTCCATAATGTGCTGTTTGTGGAGATTCTAAAGGTTTAAAATATCATTTCAATTTCAGGATTTCGGTTTTTATGTTCTGGTGGTGAAACTATACCATGTAAACATGCCTTTCATCCCATTTGTGCTTATTTACATGGTTTAACCATTGATATCGAAAGTGAAGATCTTGAACAATGTTGCAAAGAATTAAGGTTTGCTTAATTAAATGTGCATATCAAATGTGTCTTACATTGTAATAAAACATTGTAAGATCTCATCTAGTAGACTTACTACAGGTATTAATTATAAGTATTATTTTATTAGGAGATTTGCATTGAATTATGAGTAAACTGCCAAATGTGGAGGGGAAGAAGTATTCAAAGAGGAATTCAAAAAAACTAAAGGTTATAGGTAAGGTATTTAAGAAAACACTTAAGATATCTCTCGCTCAAGTTACCCATATCAAAAAATGACAATTTATAATAATTTATTAATTAAAATGGTACACCAACCCAACAGATGTGAGTAGTATTTTCATTTTAAAATATTAATTATTGGATGAAGAAAGCTATAAACTATTCTTTTTAAAAAATATTCTAATAAGTATTCTTTATAAATATTTAATATTTACATTAATTCTATAATTTCATAAATAACATTTTATATTTAGTATCTACACCTGTCAATTTAATAGAGGTTTAAAATTCTATTAAAACCATTAATAATTATATTTATATAATAATAATTATATTAAAATTATTAATATGGGAGGACTCGCTTAAAAAGTTAAAAATTTATTTGTAAAACAAGAAGAACTACTACCAATATAAGATGATAACAATTACCATTCTTAAATCTAAAATTAATAATATGAATTTGATAAAAATAGTTCTGGGAACTTTAATTAAATGGAATCGTAAAATCAAAATTTAAATGATGGAAAATTATATTCGATGTCGAGCATGTTAAAAGTATTAGATAAATATAGAAGTTGCCCTGTAAGAATGCTTACAATGATGCAAGGAAAATAATATGATACTTAATTATATCAAAATGAATAAAAAAAGATTGAAGAAATAATCACAAAACTCAATTGATTTACAAACAAATTTATTAAAATTTTCTTAAAGTTTATTAAGTAAATAAAATTTAATGAAATAATATAAAAATTATTATTAAAATAATCACTTAATTAATTTATTATTGACCCATCTTCCTTCTACAATCTTTTAATTCTTTGTATGAAATATACCAAATCCATTTATATAATCATTAAAAAATTGTCCACAAAACTTTTCACCATTTGACAAATAAAGAGTACCTTGTCCTTCTTTGTTATCTTCATTAAACTCTCCTTCATATTTTGTCCAAAAGCTACATTAAAGTATAGAATTACTCTTCAATATGATCAAAATCTTGATAATTGAATGGCTCATTTAATTAGGATGCCATTTCATTATACAATACTCCATAACCTTAAAATTTGTCTTAATTCCATGATCCTTTATAAGCAGGATTACCATTTGAATAATAAAGAGTACCTATGATTTATAATAAATAATATAGATACCATATCCATGCATATGATTGAACTACCAATTTCCATCATAATATCCTCCATCTTTATAATAAAAGATACCCTATCCATGTCTCATCCCATTGAATTTATATCCATTATATTTAGAACCATCTTAGTATTATTCATTTACAAAAATTTCTCCTTAAGAAGAAAATCCAGAAATATGTGGTTATGGTTATTATTAAGGCAGATCAAAAGGGATTGAAAATTATTATTGAGATTCTTTGACATTAATATTACTAAGCTTTAATTAAAAATTTTTATTAACATGTTAATCAGTATGATCTTGTAATGGCAAATTTTAGGATCTATTAGTAAAATTTTCATCATTTTAATTATTATCTATATTTTCATCAATTTTTGAAGGTTTTGAAATAAATTAAGAGTAAACAATTTATTAAACAAAATCAGTATTATCAGGTATATTAGGTTGAACTATATCTTCCTTCATTCTACTAGCCATAGTAGAATTTGTATTTGATTATTCTGTAATAATATCTCTTAGAGATGGTTTCTTTACATTAGATTTAGAACTTTTGATTTATTTCATAATGGGAAGAGTTTATTATTAATATTGAACATTAGATTAATGTTAAGAATTTTATTATATATTACTTTATTATTGATCTTCTGAATTAAATGATCTAAGTTAATATTTAAAATTAGTAATAGATGTAGATTCTTAATATTTTTAATCTAATAATTTTGATAAGATAATAAAATCTGGTCTTTAGATTTCTTAGATTTATAACATAGATTAAATTACTTCAAATAATTATGGTTATACAAGAGTATTTAATTGATGTAATTTTGTTAGAAGAACTTCTTCTACTAAATATAATTGTTTATAACAATCATTCAAAGGTGTTCTTAAGATACTTTATAACATACACATACCAAGTATAAATACATCACTCTTATATGGATTATGTAGAGGTTGAAATTCTTTTTATCTTAAAGCCATAGTTTATTAAGGTGATAGATATATATCATTAATTTTATTATTTTGAAAGAGCTATTAAAAATTTGTGGATTATTCATAAAGTGAAGGATCACATATTTTAGGAGGTAAGTATAAGGTTTTTTATGATATATGTTCATGTTAAATAGATTTATTTTATAATACTTCTAATGCTCTAACATATGCAAACAAAACCGCCCAATAATCTTATGAAGCCAATTATGTTGCAGATAATTAAGATGTAGGATGTTCTATCAATAAGTATATTTTAAAAAATTGACTACACACTTATTAATCTTAGGTAGTATAGATGTCAAGAATTTTAAGAATATATTAATTTTGAGTTAATTATTGTTTATTTTCGAATTACTTTTTACTTTTCTTAAAAAGGGTTTCATCAGTGTATGTATATTCTTTTAAAATAAGTTTGATTTTAGAATTTGATTTATTAACTAGGACTGTACAATCTCCAAATTCTAAATTGATTGATTAAAATACATTCATCTCTTGTTTTAGTTGGTTGATATTCGGAATACAATTAGGCTAACTTAGTGGATTCTTAGCTATTATTATTTCCCATTCAAAATTAACGAATATTTAATAATAATGATTACAATTCTAAAGAATACTTTAATAATATATTTAGGACTTTTGGGTCTTAGTACAATAGGATCTCTATTCATATGTTTAGATCAAGATTATCATTAACAATGTCCATCACATGTAATCACAATTTTATCAGATTTGTCTGTCATACCAATTATTAATGAAGCAAGAATGATGTTGATTCCAATAATTAAAGAATTACCTCCATAATGGATAACTATATTAATTTGGAGTTCATTAATGATGACAACTGCATTAATAATATCAGTGATGTATTTAGCAGCGTAAAGAATTTAAATTAATATATAGAAAGTTCACTTATAATATGTTAATGAATTTAGTTAAATTTTTGGTAATAATGATTTTGATATCATTAATATTTGCATGGTTGATGAATGTTTAAGAGATACCTTCTACATTGTAATATTATTTGAAGTACTTATAATTATTCTAATAATGATAATATAATTATTTTATAATTAATGAGATCACTTTCTTAAGTTTGTATCACTGAAAATTCAGAAAATATTGAAAAGTTCATTTTCAAACAGAAGAAAGTAATCACATTGAAATCAGATTCACCTATTTTAACCAAAAGACTTAGTCAATAACCAATTGTTATTTTATCAGATTCACCTCCTAAAAAACATAAAACTTGTAGTAGTGAAATTCCTTTAAGTAATGGAAAGATGTTCTTGAAGGATGGTAAGATCTTGTTCTTAAAGTAAAAGCTACCAAAATTAGAGTTACCATAAGCAAAATGTAAATTTGATCCAAAAGCTGAAATCCTTAAATGGATACAAACAAATAAAAATATCTCTCCAACAAAAAAAAGAGTTACCTTTAGGGCTATCAAAGAATCTAATGGCTAAAATAGAAAATCATTAATCTTTTGATTATAATTATCAATTAATTAACTACATATTTAGAATATAAAACAGTTCCCTTTAAATATTATAATATTGGAATTAAAAATTATTATTAACATAAAATAAATATATATATATATTATCTCAAAAAAAATAATAAATTGTTTTAATAATTATTAATAAACAACAACCCACTTAATATTTCTTTATGATAGATATATATATATAGTATAATTATTTCATATTTAAAATATTAAATAATTTATTAACATATTTAATCAATTATTTTTATTATTAAAATGGATTATTACAAGATTTTAGAAATTAATCGTGATGCTTCAGCCTCAGAAGTTGCCAAAGCTTACAATAAACTTTCTTTAAAATGGCATCCAAAGTTAAGTAAGTTAGATCATAATACAACTTATCATCATTTTTGTTTAATTTCAGAAGCCTATGAAGTATTATCTGATCGTAATAATATTTTTAACAAATTTAGCTATTAAAAGGACATTCTATGATAAATATGGTGAAGAGAAGTTGAAGGAAGGTTTCTTTGCTAATGGAAGTAAATAATTAATTGATTAACTTAGACCTTAAGGGCGGTTACAGTTTTGCAGGTAATCCTGAAGAAATATTTGAAAAGTTTTTTGGTACATCTAATCCATTTGCTTAACTTATAGGTATTTATTAATATTCAATCATTTAGATACAAATGGATCAGAAAATCATGGTACTCTTTTTAGTCATGCATTTGGAGGATAGAATTTCCCAGGAATTCCAGGACCTTAAGATCTTGAAATCTAAGTTGAGTGTACTTTACATGAATTATATAATGGTTGTGCAAAAACAGTATCATATTAAAGATAAGTACTTAATAAAGATGGAATCACAACTCGTTAAATTACAGAAACTAAGTATTTATTTCTATTTTGATATCTCTTAGAGAAATTAAAATTGATCGTGGTATTGAAACTGGATAAAAGATAGTATATAAAGAATTAGGTAATGAAGCTGCAGGATTTAAATCTTCTGATTTAATTTTCTTAATCAAAGAAACTCCACATTCAACTTTTAAAAGAAAAGGAAATGATTTATTATATATTGCAAAAGTTAAATTGGCTAATGCAATTGCTGCAGATCCAATATAAATTGTAACATTAGACAATAGAAAATTATAAGTACCAGTTGATTAAATAATAAGGTATGTTTATTAATAATAATAATCATAGTCCTAAATATGTAAAGATGATTGAAAATGAAGGAATGCCTGTTTTTTAATAGGATGAAGTGAAAGTATAAAATTTAATTAATTTAAGGATTTTGGTAAGCCATATACATTTGGAAATTTGTACATTAGATTTGATATTCAATTCCCAGAAGATCTAACAGAAAGTTAAAAAAATAGAATCAAAGATATTTTATTAGAAGGTTAATAATGATTAATATTAATATTAATTATAATCATTATATAATTACTCTTTATAATGTTAATCATATATATATATATATATATATTATTATATAAATTTATATATATGAATATTTTATTATTATATATATTCTAAGAAATTATTAATTTAATCTTAAGATTAAGATATGATCAAATATATGAAATATTTGAAAGAAATTGTATAAAATTTATAATATTTAATATATAGATTAATAATTAAAAATAATATTTTATCTTTAAGATTTTGAATATCAAAATCATAAAGCATAATCTAACATAAATAACATCTCAATATTCATCTATTGTATCTTTTGTGTCCAATTAAACCATATATCTGACCTTAACTTTTGTTTCATCATAAACAATATATTCATTATGCTCAAGATGATAACGTACTACATTTCTATTTTTATCCTTCATTCTTGGTAATGGATAGTCAATGCATTCTCCAACAGGTACTTTACATCCATTTGATAAAATAACTGATTAATTATAATCAGGTCCTCTTCTTCCACATCCTTTTACTGATTAATATTGTTCTAAAAAATATTTATATTTAAAATTACTATCTAATTTAGAAATGTATTCAGGATTATACAGATTCATTGATTTACCAACAGCTACTTCACATAATAACATGTATCTATATCTTTGAATTTCATCTTATTCATCTTTCTTAGTATTTTTTTGTTATCTATTATAATATCCATCTTATTAGAAAAGTCCATTATACTGGTTGTAATAGAGAGACCAATCTTCAGTATAACCATATGACTTTTCAAATGTATCAGCAAAATAAATGCCTTTTCCAAACATAGCTCCAGTATTAAAAGCCCATGGTGGTGCCACTAAATTTATTAAATATAATATATACCTCTAAGTCCTTATGCTAGTATACCCATGAAATTTGAAATTTTAGATCCATGCCATAAAAGCATTCTATTATGTTATTTATTATGCTCAAATCTTTCAGCTTCTCCTCTTCTTTCAACTGCAAATATATTTGAAATCTTTCCTTCATGAGTTGAATTTATATATTGAACTATCAATTTAAACTCAGGATGTTCTTTTGGTAAAGTAACTACTCTAACATTTAATGCATTAAAACAATAAGTCAATGGATTAATAGTTTATTTCATAAGATGAGCACCTAATAAAATTTTAGATGTGATTTCAAAATTAAGTAAAGTTTCTATTAAAAGTAACTTTTAATTTATTGCCTCTATTGAATCTAAAGGAGGAATAGGTTCTGTTCTTAATTCTGTTACTGGAACTAATTCATAAAATCTACTTGATTTATCACAAATTTCAGTAAAAATGTTTTAAATCTTTTTAATATCAAGATCTCCTTATTTTCTAAGTTTTTATAAATCTTCTACACAATCTGTTAATTCATTTAAAATAGCTTTAGCTGCTTCCAATTATTTTCTATCTAATCTTTCAATAGGCATAGTATCCAAATCAATATGGAATTATTATAAATCTTTATTGTATAATTTAACTTATACAAATTATAACATAAATCTTTTAATTGTTTTATCTAAATTACATTATTAATAAGGACTTTTCTTACTAAAATCAAATGGAACAAGTAAAGATTTATAATTTTTAACATTTTTGAAATGTATTAATTAATATTTTCCTGGTTTTTTTACAAAAGTATCTTCTCCTGTTTATACTCTTCTCCAATCATTTCCTCCTGTTTTATTATGAAATATCTTATTAAATTCTTTAATTGCTTCTTCTGCATTTTCAAATGGTGTTAATTAATGTTATCCATGTGTACCAATCCTTCCCCATTTAGTAAATAGTATAAAAACATTTCTATTAATTTCATGTAAGATTTGCATCTTATAAAATACATTTTCTGAATAAATACCATTTCCAATATCAACTTTAGTCATTAATAATGAATATGGACCAGATTCTTTATCTATCCAAACTTCAACCTTTCCAGACTCTTATGCTTCTGAATCTACTACTTTTCTAATGTCTTATTTTGATTCATCTAATTATTCTCCATTTTCATCTAAGAATTTCTATGCATCATTTTCAACATCAATCTCTTCTTCAACCCATTAAGCTTGAGAAATAACACTTGTGGGAAGTCTAGGTTATTTTTATTTCTTGCCTTCTTTAGCATTCAATTTCTTAAGAGCTGCTGCCATTGTTCCTGAATCTTGATCATTAGCATAATCTAAAGGTGTTTTACCAAAATTATCAGGTTAATTAATATCAAATTATTTTGACAATAATTCTAACATTTCAATATTTTCATATGATCCAAATTCAAGAGGTTATACTACATAATGAATAGGTGTTCTATTTTATGAATCTTAAGAATGAAGAGCTTTATTAAAGTTAGGATGATTCAATATAAAATTGACTAATTTCATTGAATTTATTCTAATAGCTAACATTAAAGATGTTTCTCCAGATTCAGTCTTTTCATTAATATCACATCCAGCTTCAGTAAATTTATTTAATATTATCTCATCTTCTAAATGATATTCTTAAATCAAGAACAAAATTGGTGTTATTAATTAATTTTTGTTTTTAATTTTAAATTTTACATTTAAATTAGTATTTTTCTCTTTCCATAATTATAATTCTATAGCAGAAACCAAAGCTTTGTATTTTTCTTATAATCTAATTGAAAAAGGAGTATTCTAATCATTATTGTAATTATTTGGATCACTATTAGATTACAATAAATATTAAATCATTCCTAAAAAATCATTTTGTGCAGCATAATGTAATGGAGTATTATTCTAATCATCTTTTGCATTTTTATCAACTTGTCTACTTGCTAATTCTTCAGCAATCATTAATGCAATATCATCTGTACATTTTCTACCCTTTATTGAAAAAATATGGAAAAGATTTTATTTATTTTTATTTTATTTCTATACAACTTCATCATCTTTAACTTTCATCAACAAAGTACGAACTAATTTAAATTACTCTTCCATAATAGCATCTTCAATAGCTCTTTATAAATCATAACCATCTGATATTAATAAATATGCTACTCCTTACCAACCCTATTTTATTGCTAATTTAAAATAAGAATATGTTCCTACTGGGAATTTTGTTGATTGTAATAAATAAATTTTACCTTTTTTTTTTTATTTATTTTATTAATTTCCTAAATATGAACTTGTACTGGCTAATGCTTTTCTTGGTGCCTTTCCTCCATAACACATTCTTGCAGTCTATTTAGTTCTAGCACCTCCATAAAGTCCATTATCTACATCCTCATTTTCTGAATCTGCCTCTTCGTCAGTCTCAAATTCCTCTTCCTATTCTATTGCCTCTCCTCTTTCAATTCTCTCCATTCTATTTTTCCTTTCCTCCTATCTAATCTTTTAATAATCAACGACAGTTGCATATCTATTTACATCTGCTTTATTATCTATAAGCATTGTACAGAAATTAGAGTGACCACATAAGAATGCCAAAGCCAATGGAGTATTGCCATATTTATCAGGTAGATCAATAGGAGCCTTCATTTTAATCATGTATCTTCCTGATATTACACTTCCTCTCATGGCAGCATAATGAAGTGGAGATCTTTAATGTATATCTACACAATCAACTTCACAATGTTTGTTTGCTAAAACAGATGATACTGTTTCAAATGGATCAATTTCTCTAAAATCATTATCATAAGTCATCTTTGTAAATGCATAGAATAGTGGAGTTCTCTTGTAAATATCTACAGCATTAGTGTTTGCACCATTTTTGATTAACAAATGTTCCATTTCAAAACTAGCATCTGCTTAAGAATTAGAAGAATTAATAGCATGATGTAGAGCAGTTCTTTTTGAGCTATCAGGGAAATTAGGATCAGCTTTGAATTTAGTTAAAAATATTGCAACAACTTTAACATTATTTTCCTTAACCCAATTTTATAATGGTACTACATCATCATCATTCAAATTATTAACACTACCTCCATTTGATATTAGAATATCTAAAATTCCATCTAAAGTAAAATTGTATCTACAAGCTATTATACTAGTTGGAGTATTTAATTAGTTATCTTTTACATTGACATTAATTTAATTAATTACATACTCTAAAAATGTTTAACTTGTTTCATTTTCTCTACCACAAATCCAATTCATATTACATGAATTTGCAAAAAGATGAATTGGATAAATATTTTATTAGGCAACTTCAGTTAAAGATATAGCTTTGATTTTATTTATTTCTTAAAGAAATGAAACACTATGATATTGTTTGAAAATAAAATGAGCTATAGTATAACCTCCTTCATTAATATAAGGATGATCTACTTCTTCTTCTTATTCACCATCTTTTTATTCTCTATATTACTTTCTCTTTATAATTGATGAATTAGTATCTGCTCCTAAATTTATCAGTAATTAATATAATTTAATTACTGTTTCTTAAAGAGTCCAACATTCTTGTTTAGATTCATTGGCCAATATATCAACTTAATCTTACTTTAAAAAGACGATAACTGGTTTATTTTTATGATAGAATGTTTTTGTGTGATGTTAATCCTTAGTTATTACAGCATTTGCTTAAGGTTTAGAAAATACATTTGTTGATCCAAGTAATCCTCTATTAACTTTTTTTGTTTTATGATAATGATGATTGTCTTCATCTTCATCTTCATCTTCATCATCTCCAGAATGTTCTTCATCATCATCTTCATTTTCATTTTCTTCATCATCCTCATCTTCATTTTCATCATCATTTCCATGATCTTCAACTTCAACTTCATCATTTTCATCTCCTTCTTCATCTTCATCTCCTTCTTCATCTCCTTCTTCATCTTCATCTTCATTATCTTCATCATTTTCTTTTTTGTTCTTCTTTTAATTTTCTTCATTTTATTCATTATTTTTAAGTTTTTTTTCTTGATTAATTCTTTCTTCTTCTTCTAACAATTATTTTAGTTTCTCTTCAAATAATTTCTATTATAATGTTGACACTTTTTTATTGTAAATTTCATTATATTGTTCTTCTGCTGTACTTGTATATTCAGAAAATAAATAAAGTAATGGATTCCATCCATTTTCATCATATTAATTAACATAAGATGGATCTATAGACTTAATGATATTCTCTAATATAGAAAATCCTTTAACATTTAAAAATAATCTACATTCAATAAGCTTATGCAAAATATTTCTATCTTTTTTGTCAACATAATTAACAGTAGGTGTAGTTAATTTCATTAATAATTCAGATACTTTGAAATTCTAACTCATTAATGATTAAATGAATGGAGTTTATCCATTACTATCTTAAATATTAACATCTGATCCTGCATTAATTAATAATTCAATCATCTCATGAACTAATTTCTCATATTTATTTTTGATATCTCTTCTTTCTGTTTTACTCATATCATTCCATTTTTTATAATATTATTTTGCATCCTTTCTTGATAATAATACAGCATAATGTAATGGAGTCTTATCTTATAAATCTGCAATCTTAACATCAGCATTTTTCTCTAAAATCAAATATTTCATATATTCAAATGCATCTACTGTAAATTTACTTAAACTTGAAGAAATTAAAGTTCTACCTTCATCATCTTTACAATTTACATCTGTAGTTGGATAACTTAACAATTTTTTAACAACTCCCAAATGATTTTTCTATAATGCTACAGATAAGGGTGTCAATTTCCAAGAATTAGGTAAATTTTAATCAGCACCTGCTTTCATTAATTCTTCTATACATTCTGGAAAACCATAAGCAGCTGCATAATGTAAAGGAGTATTTTTAGAGCTGTCTGGTTAATCATATTCAGCTCCATGATAAAGCAATAAAGATAAAATCTTTACATTTCCATTACGAGCAGCAAGAACACAAGAAGATCTTCCATATTTATCTTTTGCCAATACTTTTGCTCCTTATTCTATTAAATACTTTGCTAATTCATAATGACCATATGCACAAGCAATATTTAATGGAGTCATTCTATTTTATCCTGTTAAATTAATTTTAGCTCCTTATTTTAGAAGAACTTTTACTGTCTCTAAATGTCCTCCTTAGCATGCAACATGTATAGCTGCATTACCATCTCTATTTTTTCCATCTATATTATTAGAAGCCAAAATCTAGACATTATGTGTACGACCAAATTATGCAGCCAAAATCAATGGAGTGTTCTTATTTCTATCACCTTCTCTAACATCTATACTATTATCCATTAAATATTTTAAGCAAGCTGAGGTCTATGAGACAGCAGCATAATGAACAGGTTTTCTATGAATTTCATCCAAAATATTATATTCTTATGAAATATCTAATAATTTTTAGAGACATGAATGATTTGGGTTTATAGCAGCACAATGAATTGGAGTAATTAAATAACTACCTCCTGATTTCTTTGTAGCTGAAGGTTTCTTTATATTTCCTATACGACTTGCACTTGTATAATTCAAAACATCAACATGAACTTAATTAAATCCATACATATGTCCTTTATCCATTGCTATTTAAACCAAATAACCAGCTGTCTTCCAATTTCCACTTCTAACTGCAAAAGCAATCTAACTATAATATTGTTATTCATCTCCTAATTAGGCCATCATTAAACCAAAGAATTCTGGATCACTTTCAATTTTCATCAATCTTTCAATTTATTATTCAGTCAAAGTATCTTACTAATCCAAATCATAAACAAAAGCATTATTTCCTTCTCTTCCTCCTCTACCTAAAGCAACCTTTCTAGTTCTAGCACCATAAGCATATTAATCATTATATCCTGTTTAGATTTCTTTAAGTGAACAACTAGGTGTAGTACCTAATTTTACTTTATTAATTGCTTTTATAAATTAAAGTAACATAGCTTTATCTTACCTTTTAAATATGATTTCAATAGCATTAACATCATTTTCAGGAGCCCATCTTTAAAAAAGATTACTAATTTTTTATGAATGAGCAAAAATATCTTCTAATAGTTTAGTATTTCCTGTTTAAGCAGCTCTAATCAACTCCTTATTATTCATCATCATACTAGAATAATCTTTAAATTTTGAAGATGTTCCTTCAAATTGTTCACTAGTTTACCTTATTTCTCTGTAATTTGGATTAGCTTTACCTTTCATGAATTTTTTTGGTGGAGCAGGTTAAGATTTAGATTTTTTATCATTTGCTTTACCTTTCTTTTTCTTTTCATCAACTGAATGAGATTGAACTTAATTATCTTCATTATCTTAAGCATCTTCATCATCTTCAGAATCCTACTTTTTCTAAGCTCTACCTCTCTTAATTTATTTTTTTTAAACAGGAAGTGGTTCAGGTTCATCTTTTTTAGAAGATGGATTTTATCTAGTAACTCTTTTCTTTTTTTATTCTTATACATTTTATTCTTCAGAACTCTCCTCACTTTCTTCCAATCTTACTTATTTACTACCTTTTTTATTACTCTTAGTAACTTATTGAGTTTGTTTCTTTTTTGTTGTTTATTTTTTAGGTGATTCCTATTCTTAAGATTCTTCTTCTTCAACACTATCATCTGATTCAACTTTTTTTTTAATATTTAATTTAACTTCTTTTTTTTGATTCTATGTTTTGACAACTTATTTTGTTCCCTTCTTTATTGTATACTTTTAAGGTTGTTCATCTTCTTCACTTTCACTTTCAGAACTCACTTATTTCTTTTACTACTTAGTATTGGCGGGAACTTGTTTAGCGCTCTTTGTTATCTCTTATAATGTATCTTATGGGAATACAAATGAAGTCACTGTAGATTTACTTCTTGGATTTGGTTTTGTGGATTTTACTTCAACATCTTCCACAATTTTACTAAAAATTAATATCTTTTTTTACGTTCTTTCTTTAACTGATAATAATGCTTCTTATGATTCTTTGTAAACTATTTTACCATCCTTTTATTTCTCCTGTTACTCTAGTCTTATTACTTTTAATTATGATTTATGATCATTAGTTTTTAGATCTTCAACTACTTTATAGAAGACTGGTTTTCCTTTCTCACTTTATCCTAGAATCTAATCCTTTTTAAATTGATATGCATAATTGGGTTCTGTCTTTTATCCACGAGTTTTCATTTTTATGTTAATTATGAAATTAAAATTAAAAAATCTGATGGATTTATGATTTATTTTTATATAGGGTATTTAAATTATTATAAATAAATAAATAATTAAATTCTCAATTAATTTTTTCTAAACTTATACATTCTATTTAACTTCTTAATTCTTTTACATCCTCTTAAATATTATCGAAAGTAGGATGATGATTTGCATATTCAAAATTTATTGGACTATATTCATTCAAAATTCTTCTTTAATGAAAAGGTGATATATCTTAAGAATGAATCCCATCAAATTATTTTGAATCGAATGAATCCAAACCTTATATTAAATTAATAGATGGTTGAATTCTATTTGAAGGTGTACGATTCTAAACATTAATAAATGATTCATTTTTTAAAGAATCATTTTTTGTATTATCATGTTCCTCCTTTATAGATTAAATAGTCTCTAATGGTTAATAAATTTATATTGGAGGAGGAATATGAGGTTATTCAGATATTGATGATTCTCCATCATTATCTTCATCATCTGATTTCTCTTCTAACATACTAACTCTCTTTATGTATGAATAAAATCTATTCTTCACTTAATTTTCCTATTTTTATTTTAATCATTTCTTACTGGTCTTCTATCTAACATCTTTGCAATTTCACTCCATTTTGGTCCATAAATTCTATATTACTCTAATATTATTTTATCCTCTTGTGCTGTGAATTTTGATCGATTAATCTCTGGGTCTAAATTATTTAAAAATCTCTCTCTTATTTATTTACTTGAACGTCCTTCCATGAACCCTTCAATTACCTTCCAATTTCGACCATATTCTTAAACAAGTTCAAATACTTTTTTGTCCTCTTCATCTGTCCATTATTTACGCAATTTTGTCTAAAAATCTATAACTATATAAACTACCTTATTTGGATTTATTCTCTTCCATCNATGGGAATACAAATGAAGTCACTGTAGATTTACTTCTTGGATTTGGTTTTGTGGATTTTACTTCAACATCTTCCACAATTTTACTAAAAATTAATATCTTTTTTTACGTTCTTTCTTTAACTGATAATAATGCTTCTTATGATTCTTTGTAAACTATTTTACCATCCTTTTATTTCTCCTGTTACTCTAGTCTTATTACTTTTAATTATGATTTATGATCATTAGTTTTTAGATCTTCAACTACTTTATAGAAGACTGGTTTTCCTTTCTCACTTTATCCTAGAATCTAATCCTTTTTAAATTGATATGCATAATTGGGTTCTGTCTTTTATCCACGAGTTTTCATTTTTATGTTAATTATGAAATTAAAATTAAAAAATCTGATGGATTTATGATTTATTTTTATATAGGGTATTTAAATTATTATAAATAAATAAATAATTAAATTCTCAATTAATTTTTTCTAAACTTATACATTCTATTTAACTTCTTAATTCTTTTACATCCTCTTAAATATTATCGAAAGTAGGATGATGATTTGCATATTCAAAATTTATTGGACTATATTCATTCAAAATTCTTCTTTAATGAAAAGGTGATATATCTTAAGAATGAATCCCATCAAATTATTTTGAATCGAATGAATCCAAACCTTATATTAAATTAATAGATGGTTGAATTCTATTTGAAGGTGTACGATTCTAAACATTAATAAATGATTCATTTTTTAAAGAATCATTTTTTGTATTATCATGTTCCTCCTTTATAGATTAAATAGTCTCTAATGGTTAATAAATTTATATTGGAGGAGGAATATGAGGTTATTCAGATATTGATGATTCTCCATCATTATCTTCATCATCTGATTTCTCTTCTAACATACTAACTCTCTTTATGTATGAATAAAATCTATTCTTCACTTAATTTTCCTATTTTTATTTTAATCATTTCTTACTGGTCTTCTATCTAACATCTTTGCAATTTCACTCCATTTTGGTCCATAAATTCTATATTACTCTAATATTATTTTATCCTCTTGTGCTGTGAATTTTGATCGATTAATCTCTGGGTCTAAATTATTTAAAAATCTCTCTCTTATTTATTTACTTGAACGTCCTTCCATGAACCCTTCAATTACCTTCCAATTTCGACCATATTCTTAAACAAGTTCAAATACTTTTTTGTCCTCTTCATCTGTCCATTATTTACGCAATTTTGTCTAAAAATCTATAACTATATAAACTACCTTATTTGGATTTATTCTCTTCCATCTCTATTGACATTAACTTAAATTTCTTCCAGGAATTTCTTCAGAAATCTACCGCCAATTTCCATTATATTTTCTATGCAATTCTAAAAGCAAGGTGTCCTCATTAGGTTTCCAAAATTTCCCATACCTTTTCTCTGATGAACTAGAATCAGAGTCTTTGTTCTGCTTCCTAATTGACTTATTGATAGATGGTGATCTTTATATAAATTAAAAAAGAATACTTTGAGTTTCCTCTCTAGCTACTCATATATTTTTAATAAATTTAATCAATATTTAATATTGATTTTGAATCAAATCTTTAAGTGTAAACTATAATTATAAAAATGTCATCAAAAATTAATTCATATAAATTATCTAAACTCTGGAAGAGTTAACAATCTATTATGTTATTTCTATGGTTTATTGATTGGTTTTAGATACATCTATACATTAGCTTTTAATTTCCTTGGAGATGGAACTAAAGTTGTAGTCATTGTGGCTGGTGTTCTAGGAGTTAATACTTTCTAAAAATCATTAGAGAGAAAGGGAATCGAACGAAATTTATCAAAATTTTTTCGATGATTGGAAAATTTTCTCCTTTAATCAACTACAATCTATTGTTATTTAATTAAAAAGAAGTCGAAAAAGTTAGACTTACTTTTAATCTTATTTGGACATGTTTATGTAGGAACATCTTCTAGATGCTCAAACGAATTTATAATAAAATCATTATTATGATCACCACTCTCTTCTATTTGTATACTCTTCATATTTAAATATTATGGATATAACTTTTCATATTATTTCTTTTATGTTCTCTAAAATTTATTTGATAAAGCTTCTTATTCTTTTATTTATTAAATTATAAAAACTCCATCTTTCATTGAATCTCTTTAAAAATTAGTTTCCTTTCCACATTATGAACAATCACAACTCTTTCTTTACTATCTTTCTTTCATTTCAATATTTTTTTAAGATAATTTAAGATTGGTTACTAATGAGTCTCTTTTTTATGGAGATTATTATCTTATTTGAAATTCTTCACCAGTTCCTTTTCGAGATGGACATAGGTGTTTTGGTAAAGTTTCAAATCTATACAAGAATCTTTAATTATGTGGCAAACTAAAGCTTCGTTTAATTCTTTAAGCATGAACATTTCTCACTAACACATTCTTCATTAATGTCTATTTCTTTCTCTCAATTCGCTCTGTTAGAGGTTGAAAATGAACTTATAAATAAGGTTTTCTTTATTTAATATTTTGCATAATTTTATTTAATCATTTATACAAATGACCACTCTAATGCATCTCATGTATTGTTATTAATAGATTTTCAACAAAATCAACCTATTTCTCCTTTGCTATTGTACGGAATGCTGGAAAATGAACAAATAAACATGCTGATTATGGACAACCTTGACTTTTTAATAGAGAACAATAATAAATGAAATTACAAATATATCTTCCTGGATCTGTAGATTCTTCAACAGGAAAATTTTCTTATAATTTCTACACTAATAATCCAGTATTTATTTTAGTTTGTCTACAAAGATCTTTTTTACAATCTTTTTCAATGCATTCATTATGAGCAAGATATCCTTTCATATCAGGTATTCCAAAATCTTTTAAATTGTAACCACATTATTCTATGTTAAATTCTTAAGATCCGTCATAAACTCCAAAATGAATATTTAAAGTATGATCAGGTAATTTATTCAAATATTCTTAACAAGCCACTGTAGACACCTCTAATACTTCTGAATGAATTATGTTATATTTTTTTTTAAATATTTCTGTAAATTCTGACACAATAACACTTGTAGGATTTGTGATTATATTCCCAAATTTACCAAATGCACTTATTGTTATTTGTAATTTTTAGTTATTATCCATTTTATTTAATTAAATTTTTGATGATTATTTATATATATTCTAAAATATGATAATTTATTTGAGTAAAAAATATACCTTTTTATATATTTTGTTAAAACTTGATGACAATCTAATAATTAAATATTATAAAATTGGATAATTTATTATTATGTATAAATATGAAGTATTTGATAATTAAATTTTATAAGTAACATTACCTTATTCAAAAGAGATATAATTATATTAAAATTTAATATAGAAAATTATTAACTTAAATATTAAAATTTTTAATTGTTTAAATAATATATTCCATTCATCTGTTATCATTTTAAATAATTTAACATTAATCTTTATAAAATATGATTCTTATTTAATAAAAGAATATGTTTATATATATATCATTTGACTTAACTGCATTAGTATATATATTAGATAATTATTAATAATCATATCATAGAAAGGATTTAAAATTAATCATAAAATATAAAATGAATTTCATTATTATTCTGTCCATCTTGATGAATCTAATTCGTCAAATTTAACTAATAATTCAGGCTAATCAACTTAGTTATCTTCGATTTAATCATGTGATTCTTGTATATTGAGAAATAAACTTTAGATTTATTTAGGTGCTTAATCAATCTTTTTAATATTTCCATTATTATTTGTTCCTTCAATAATATCATTATCATAAGTTCCCCATATATTTGTAATAGTTTTTTTTTATGTAATTTTAATTGGTTATTAATGATTATTTAAACTTTGTTTCTTCTTTATTTTATCTAATCTTCTAGGTTATGGTAAATAACTAAGTTTTTCTTCATCATCTTTTTAAATAACCTAATCTTATTTATTTAATAAAATTATTTATTCATTTTGATGACCTATGATTGTAATTTAACTAGTTTCTTATTCTAAAAAATCCATATTTAATGCTTTTAATTCTATTTCTTTCTAAATGATAAGTTTATTTTTTCCTTCATTTTACTAATCTATAGAAGATTCTTTTTCTTTTATTTCTATTCTATTATAATCTTAAATAAGATTTTAAGAATATATGCAATTATCTTAATTTTCGAATTACTCTAATTATAAAATAGAACCTTTATGATCTATTTCTTAATGATTAATAATGTCTTCATTTACAGGTGTTTATGCTAATTGTTTATCATCTTTTGTTTAATAAATAGGTTTATCTAAATCTTTAGATTCAGGATTGGATTACTCTTTTTTCAATTTCAATTCTTGTGATGAGAATTAAGTGTTTTTTAAGTCAGGAAGATTGATGGCAAATAAATTAGAATAATAAGGGGTTCGTTGTCTTTATAATATACTTTTTCCATTTGATCTAAATCTAATTGCTTCTAAATAGTTAAGCCATAACATGTAAATTTCATTTGATTATGCCACCAATACAATATATTTATCGGTCAAATAAATTGTAAATCCAAAGGCTTCTTTCCACTCAACTCCTTAATTAGATAGAGCATAATGTGGTTTATCAGAGACAGACTGTACTTCCTAAAATGAATAGCTATGATACTTCAAATGGGATATATGTGATATCATTAAGAGAGTATCGTTCTTTATTGGAATAATAGAGTGTTATTTCAAGGAGATTTAGAGTAAAGTAGCGTTTATTGTAATCTTAAAATATTCTTGAAAGTCCTGGAAGTGGTTTCATCTTTTTAAACCAATCTGATATTTAAGGTTTAAGAGTTTAAGTGTATCTTTAATCAATAATAAACTTAGAATGTACTAAGTCTCTTTAAGTTCTTTCCAAATATTTTATTTTTTTCGACATTCTTAAATAAGTAATATAGTTATATAGATAAATTACACTTATGAACAATTAGTTCTGATGTTTTTGATTAATTATTATAATATTAATTTTATTATGAAGATCTATAAATCATTTGCATTTGATCAAAATATTCCATAAACAGATTATGAGAAATATATCAATCCTGATGATTTATTGAATGAGAGTTTTGAGGAATTGAAAGGAGAATTCAAAAATTATAGAACAAAAAAAGGAAAAGACATAATAAAACAAGAAATGGAAATGAGAAAATAATTGTAATAGAAAAGTATGATCGTTATATTTTATTGTAGGGAAAAAAAATTAATCTGGATTGATTGTTTAACAAAAAAAACATGAGGACCAAGATAATTAAAAAGACATGCTTGGAAATATTGGATTATTGATACGATAATAAGAGAGGAAGTGCAAATAAATTAAAAAGGAAGTGCAGTCGCGTACATAATTGAATATAGACATGCAGCAAACTTTGGTTAGGATTATACAACGATGAAACAGAAAATCCAGTAATTTATTTATGGGGACAATTTAGGAAGACTGATGTGACAAAATAACCAATTTTCAGTTAAGAAGACTTTGCTAAGTTGATTTAAAGAGAGGATGAAGATGAATTAATATAAACATAAACAAGAACAATGCATAAACCTAGAGAGTTTATATATTTTAAAATTATTTAGGGGTTTCAAGTCTAGATTTATTGAGAAATAGATACCTATGTATAAAAATATGGAGTAATCATCTGAAATTGATTCAAAAAAATAAATGGACAGCAAAATATTAACAAAATCAAATAAAACAATTAAATAGTATAATAATTAATCAGATATACATAGATTTGGTCTTTAATAATCTCGAGAGTCCCCTTCTAATGCAATGTTTGAAGGTGAAGCAAAACGCATATCTAAATCATATCTCTATAAGACATGGCTTAAAGGAGAGGAAGCATAAAACAAGAAACTCAAGAAGCCAAGAAGAACAGAGTCTTATCATAAGGCAGCTGCTTAAAGGGAAGAAATAAAAAGTCAATTGAAAGAAAGAGCTTAAGTGGCATTTAAACGTTATGAAAGTATGGGAAAGAGTATAACATTTATTAAAATCTTAAGCATGGGAAAAGTTTGGAGTATTTTCATAGGATATTTTGGATTTTCGTATGTAAACATTAAAAGAGGCTAAAATTTAAAGATTGTATATATTAAAAAATAATTAGATTACTTGAGTAACAAGAACATGATCTTAAAAAGATTGAATAGAATGAGTAATTAATTGATTTATTTTTATAGATAGAGAGATCCTGATATGCTTACTCGATTAGTAAAAGTGATTACAAAACCTAATTCTGATAATAAAGAAGAAGTTAAAACAAACTTTGAATATCATGAATAAAGACTAAAGGATATGAGAACAAGGACTAGATAAATTTAGAGAGCTGGATTTTGAATAATTATATTTATAAATTAATGTTATAAAGATAAAAACATGAACTTAAGGAATAATATTAGGATAGAAAAAGAATATATGAAATAGTATATAAGAAGAATGCAGATAGAGCAATTGTAATGAGTAACATATATGTTAATATAAAATATATGGGAAACAAATATTCAAAAGAATTAGAAGATGAGTTGAATTAATATATAGCATAGTTATGAAAATTTGAGATATAAATTAAATCTTTTTTTTTAAAAAGTATTATGATCATCTAGGTGGGTCACCTTAATGGAGAGGTGAAAACATACAACTTAGCAGACTAGAGTACTGCAGCTGAATTAATGAATGTTTTGAACTCTGAATTAGCATGTCAAGTTCAATTGGTTTAATCTGGAGAATTAGTCAATGCATCCTCAATTTTGGCAGGAGAAAGAATCTATTATGTCACAGTTGATGCAGAAGGAGGTAAGAAAAAGAAGAAAAAGAAGAAGAATTTTGCCAAGCCCAAAAAGAAGAAGCACAGACACCGAAAAATTAAGTTGGCTACCCTTAAATTATACAATGTTGATAATAAGGGTGTTGTCTAAAGATCTCACAAATAATGTCCTTAATGTCCATAAGGTGTTTACATGGCCAAACATTTTGACAGACATTATTGTGGAACTTGCCATTAAACTTTCAGAATGGATGAAGCTACAGTAATAATAATAACTATTTTTTAAGATTAAAGCCAACTTAGAAGCAATCAAAAAATAATAAGCTGCCAAAGCTGCTCAAGCTGCTGCTGCTGCTCCAGCTGGTGGTGCTGGCGATAAAGCTGCTGGAGGTAAAAAAGGAAAGAAGAAGTGAAATATATATTATCTAGTATATTAATAAATAATTTAACAAATAAATAAATTCTTAAAGGATTTTCAGTCTCATTTAACATATTTATTATCTTTATTCCTCACTTAAAAAAAATAAATAAACACAAATATTATTTTTCTAAATAATTTATGGGTAGTTATGATTCAAAATAGTTTTATAGATATTTTAACATAATTAGATAATATAATCAGAACAAAAAAAGGAATAGAGATCTAATTTATATTTTTTAATAAAGGATTATAATTTTAATATTATGAATTTAATAAATTAATGTTAATAATCAAATATATCATGCATAAGTTATTCAATTTTAGTTGGATATGCCATTATAATTACACTTATAGCTGTTAAAGCTCTTAGTAGAATGATGAAGTCTTCAGTAAGTATTCAAGAATTAAATCCAATGATTTTATGCATAATATAATCTCTTTTACATGTTATTCAATATGCAGTGACTGAAAATAATACTATATAAATAATTACCCTCTATTTTTAAATACTTATTTTCACTTCAATTTCCTTTTTATTTGCAAAACTATGCTATTAAGTGAAGACTGGAACACTTATTTTGAGAAGCTTCAAAATGTTTAAGATTCTACAATTTATTTTTTATGGAATAATTTGCGTATTTTAAGTATTAGCTTTAATTTTGTCTAGCAAAGATTCATGTGATAAGTAAGTTTATTTCTAATCTATATAGATATTATTATCTGAGTATAATTTTAATTATTGTGTAACAATTTTCATCAACTATAATTACAGCTTATTTTGGAATTAAGTTACTCTAAAAACTCTAAAGAGTTAGTTAATATATATAATTTAAAACCATGAATCCAAAAGCGTATAAAATTAATAAATTTTAGTGTTTATGATTCATTTGCTAAAATGTCCTTATGTAATCCAAGAGCTACAATTATAGAACCAAAAGAATTATTATAAACAGCCAAACAAATTAAAATTGTACTATGGTTAATGCTAATCACTATATTATTATATATTTCCTTTATTTTAATTGCTATACTAATATTCAAAAAAATGACTTGTGAACATTCAATAGAAAAAGATAATTAAAACATTTTAAATGTATTTTATGGAATTATTTAAATGACACCATGTTTGGTAATTCCTTATGCATTTGGTTTTATTCCATAAGTATAGGCTTAAAGTTAAGAATACGATGATTGTCTTATTATTTTAGATAAATCTTAAGCAAAATCAAAAGATTCAATTCAAATTTGAATTTCATATATGATGTAACTATTAAATATTAAATCATATGATAAATTATCTTATATGAGGAATAAATTAATAATTAAATTAATATATTAAGTCAAATATTTATTTTTTATGAATAAAAAAAATCCTAAATTGATTAAGAAATCATTAATACAATAAAACTTAATTTTGTTTCTAATTTTAATATAGAAATCAAAGGATTCAAATATCATAGTTGCTTAAAATGAGAATGGTTATATTATATAACTATTTAATAATTTTTATTTAAATAATAGATTTCTTATATCCTTATAAAATTATATAATATAAATAATATCATATCATTTTATACATTTATATCTTATATTACACTTTAGTAGATCCTTCTAAATTGTAAGTACTTATTTGAGAATAGAATAGTATTTAATTTTGCGGAAATTCTTTCTTTGATAGATTAAATTACATATTATAAGTTAGCTCAATCAAGTATTATTTTCGATAAATTTAAGTTAATTAATCTAATCTTTAAAGAAAAGCAATTGATATAAAAATAAATATATATGATAAAAAAGATTTACAGATCTTAATTATATGGCAAATGAAGATCTTTTTTGTTAAAAAAAAATAAATTTATTCATTAATAATATAAATAATTAATATAAATATTTCTTATTAATTCTTCCAGCTTCTGAAAATCCAATTCAAAAACTCAATATAATAATAATAATAATAATAATAATAATAAGATATGAAAATTAATTGATATAAGTATACAAGTTTATAAAAAATAATATTTATTATATAGAATTTTAAACTATTAATCAACTAAATTTGTTATTAAATTCTATATATAAATCTATTTTTTAACAAAATTAAAGAACAAATATTTAGGATCAATTCAAGAGTTAACTTAAATTTCTTATAATGAATTACAAGAAATAAGAGTTATCAATTATAATACTATTATAATTAAATTGAATTTTTCATAATAATTATTATAATTATTTGAAAATTCTAGTTCGAAATAGATGAATTAGAAAAGTTTTTTCACATGGTTCTAATTATTATTAAAAAGAGATTAACCTATAATATTAGATTAATCTAATTGGCTTGGTTTTGTAAGTGAAGTTTTAGATGTTATTTGCAGTTTTTCAATGAATAAAATTGATTTAAAAGATGACATATTTTAAAGACAGCAGATTTAATCTATTATCGAGTTACTATAAAAGTTGATTAATATTCTAAAAAATTTCAATGACAATAGTATAAATGAATTATTGAAGTTCATATTTTTAGTATTTCTAACTATATATTTAATAGATATCTAAGGAAATTCCAGAACTTGAATAATTAAATCTATAAATTGATGAATAGGATTAATATTAGATGTTTCAAGAATTAAATCTAAATGATAATGAAATCATATAGTTGAGTTTTTCTAAATATGAACTTCTTTAAATAATTGAACATGTTGAAGATAAGTATAAATAGACAAAAGAATAATTGGAATAAATTTTACCATAATTTGAAAAAGTAGAAGAAAACCTTAAATTATCTATAATTGCAAAGGAGGAAGAAAATAAAATACTAAATAAATGTAAATAATTAATATAAATTTTAGAAATTGAAGAATTAATTGCAGATATTGATCGATTAAATATAATTAATGCAGAATAATAAACAATTCTAAATTAAATAAATGAATAACATTAATGCAATCCAGATAATAGTTAATTATTATAATATTTATAAAGGTAAATAAAAATATTTAATTAAATTAGACAACATAGTGTTATATAAGAATAAGAACAAGAATTAGAAGAATTACGTAAGATTTTTGCTAAAAAATAATTAAATAATATCTTTTAAGACAAAGAAAATTATAATAATATTTAAACTTTAGAAAGCAGATTATTTATATATTCAGAAAAATTAAAAGAATTAAATTAATAAGTTTAAACATTATAAAAAGATGTAGTCAAATTAGAAATTTAAAAATCATTAGTTGAAAAGAAATTAGAAGATACTACCTTATAAAAAGATTAAGAAATTTAAAAACTTAAATAAGAAATTGATGATATTTAATTACAAAATTAAAAACTTTAATCTGAAATAACTACTAGATCTAAAGTTCTTTCAATTCATTCATAATCTTCATAACATTTATTAGCTTAGGAACTTTAGGAAAGTCATTTAAAAATTCAAAATTAAGAAAAGAATACTGATGGAATATAAATAAATGCAGTATAAATAGCTTAAATTGAAGAACAATTTTTGGCAGAAAAGGAATAGTATCATTAAATAATATATAATTTAATGGCAGATATAAAAAAATAAGAAATAATGTATAATGATTTAAAGAAAGAAAATAATTAAAATTAGTAAAATTATTAACATTTACTAAAAATTAAATATGAAACAGGAAACTTAACTCCTAAAATAAAGAAATTAGAACTTTAAAATGATTTACTTAAAAAGATAGTGGATGCCTTTATATAGACAAATAGTTAATGTTGAATTATAAATAATAAATATAGTTTTACCTCAATTTTAACCAAAATAAATTATAAATCAAAAAAATTCTATTAAAATTTCTTAATTTTTACAGTTAAATTTCAGTTATAACTGTCACAATAAAGATTCTAACAAAAAATGAAAAGACAAAATTAATTTATTTTTTCAAATATCAATTTATCAAATTTATAAAGCCACTCACAAATATTAACTACTTTATTATTTAACTTAAAAGATTAGGATTAAATTCATTATTATGATTTAATAATTTTAATTAAAGGGACATAAATCAACTTATATAATTTATGATAAAATTCTGGGTAAAGGGGCTTATGGTATAGTATTATTAGCATAAGCTATAAATTCTGGAAACCAATTTGCTGCAAAAATTGTAAAAAAATATTATTTTTCATTATTTAAGATAAACAAAAAATCACTCAGTCCAACTGACATAGTAAATTTAAGAAATGAAATAAATATTTAATCTAAATTGTCTCATGCTAATATTGTTTCAATGGATGATGCATTCGAAGATAATGAATATTTATATCTGTTGCTAGAATATTGTAATAAAGGATGTTTATTTACAAATATCCAATTAAGTGGGCCATTAAGAGAGGAAAAAGCCTTTGAATATTTTATTCAAATAGTATATGCTGTACAATATTTACATTCAAATAAAATTCTTCATCGAGATATCAAAGTATGTTAATCTCTTTATGTTAGCTATCAAATTTATTATTAACCAAAGAAGACTAAATTAAATTGGCTGATTTTACATGGAGTACATCTTTTTAAATGGGATTTGTTACACCTTAAATATGTGGAACAATAGAATATATGCCACCTGAAGTTATTAAAAAAGGATTTTGAAATGAAAAACTAGATATATGGAGTTTAGGAATAGTACTTTATGTATTTTACTTATTATACACTCTAGGAAATGCTACACAATGATCTTCCGAAAAATGGATAAATTTTAATCAAAAATGGTATTAGTGAGGAATGCAAATAATTAATAAAGCTAATGTTATAAGTGGATACTAGTAAAAGACCTTCAGCTAAAGAAATACTCTCCAGTTCATGGGTTTAAAGATATCAGAGAAATAATAGGCTTACAATCAATACTTGCAGATGTTATTCTAGATTTAAAGATAATATGACATCTCCTACTAAAATTCTTTAATAAGGTTCACCAATGGTTTCCCCTTTGAGGGTTGCCTATGGATCACCTTTAAGATCGCCATTGGCATCACCTTTAAATTCTCCAACTGTGAAGGGTAAATTCGACTCAAAACAAGGATCAATTAATCCTGTTTCAAAATAAAGATTGGGCACATAACAAATTTACTGATTTTGAACTTTTACATCTTTCTATACATACATTAATCCTTAACATAATAATTTAACTTAATTTAATGTAATCAAGGTTAAACATTTAAGTTATTCATATATTTCAAAAAAATTTGTCGTTTTAATTTTCTGATTAAATTTCTTAAATAAATCATTCTAAAAATGAGAGAATTTAAAATAATCTTTTTATTAAATTCATATTTTATTTGAATCAATATTAAAGGTTTATGTAATGCTAATAAAATCTTATAACAATCTAGTCAACCGTTTTTGTAGAAATTCTTATTGTGGCAATTCTTGAATTATCAATATCTGTATAAAGTATGAATATAATTTAGAATAAGTGTAAAAAAGTCTTATTTCAAAAGTGTTTTATAATTTAAATAACAATTGAGTAGGATTTCATATTATATTTTATGGTTTGTATGCTATTGTGGTATCGTAGATTTACATAGAAATTGAAAATATATCTATTGTAAATGAAATTATTTCAACATTAAAAAATGTAATACCTAGTAAAAAGTATATTAATATTTAAATAAGATCAAATTTATTCAAATCATCTTAGAACATAAGAATTCAATAAAAATATCTCTTAGTATATTTTTTATATAGAATACAATAATAAATGAAATAATAAATCAAAATCATATTAATTTTATATAATAATAGTTTTAATAATAACAAAAGAATAGCCAAAAATCAATTTTTAATAACAGATTAATTAATTTGTCTAAATTTCTTAAGAAATTCTTATGATCATCATTCAGAACCTAAATAATTTACACAAAATAGAAGGATTCAGTAATGTAAAAATAGAGTTAAATTGAGTAGAAGACTTAATGATTTACATATGTAAATTTAAATATCTGGAGTAGAATAGTATAAATATTTGAATAAATTTTCAAATAATATAGAAATTTAATATAATATCATTGAAAAGTGGAAATATATTTAATTTAATAATCATTAACATAATAATTAGATTAAATATTAAATAACAAAGGTTTTATTCTCAATTATCAAGATTTCCAAAAGTGTCTTACAGCTTAAACCATCCCCAGGTTAAAGACGTAATGTAAGAGTCTATATAGCTATAAATAAGAAGACAAGTGAAATGTTTGCTTTTATAGTCTTAACTAATTTATCATTAAATCATAACATACATACATATCTAGATTTTTTACATTTTATTTAGAGAATGAAATAAAAATACTGAAATTCATTGATAATCTAGGAATATTTTAATAGAAATTTGTATATTATATTTGTGTTCTTTTGGAGTTCATGCCAAATGAAACATTTTTAAAGATCATAGACCTCTCCAATTACGTTAAGAATAGAATTTGTCTGACAGTTTTAATTAAAATATTAAGGACCATTCATACTGCTGGATTATTCATTGTGAAATAAAACTAGGAAACATATTGATTGTGGCTGATTATAATCTATATTTGTGTGATTATGAATTTATAAGAGTCTCAAAATAAATTTAAGACTAGTTGGAAGAACTGGAGAAGACGCTGCAGTACATTAATTAGACAATTAATTTTTTTAATGTGATATTTTAGCCTTGAGAGTAAGATTGTTTATAATAGCTATGAGATTCCTTTCATTTAAAAAAATTGATTCCAATTTAAAAGATAAAAGATGGTCATTAATCTATAATTAAAAAATATGATTTATTCTGGAACAAATACAAAGGTTTCTTAAGGCAACAACATATTAAATAATTCAAGATATGTGTAATATCTATTTTATAGAGTGTCATTTTGATAGAAGGATATTAATAGAGAAGTTGCTAGAACATGAATTCTTAATGGATAGAGCTACTGATGAGGAAGTGTCAGAGATATAGAAGAGAGTGAAGGAATGAAATATGAGAATGAAGATTAATAAAATATTAAATAATGATTTATTTAAAAAAATGTTTCATATCTACAATCCATTTTTATATTGTATTCCAATTTTGGATTCAGTATTTATTTATAATAACAATTACCTCTTTTTTTTTAGAGGGAACTTAAAAATCTAAGATAAAAGTATAGTTGTATTTCCACTCTTTATATGATTATTCAATATCTTATAATAATTTAATGAATAAGTGCATCACAAAGTTTAAACTTTAATATTTATTTATTATATATATATATGCAAAGACTTATCAAACCAATAACCATATCTTAACCAATTCTATAAAGAATGGAGAACACAAGATCAGATTGTTCTGCTGATGAAGATCTTAGTTTTATAGAAACTTTAAGAGCTGAAGCTCAAAATCCCATGATAAAGAACTTCTTGGGAATGGAGTGCCAAGTTGATGACACATAAGATTTAGAAGAATTCCTTAATTCTCTTGATTGAAACCAATGATTATAAGGTAAATCCACTTGGTGGCATGAACCTTGTTTTCGACTGATTATAATACATAAAACTTTTAATCAAAAACATTCTTCAAAATCTTTATCAAACCTTAATGCTAATTAGTTCTTTATAGAGATGTTCAAGAATTGAAAAATGATAAACTTGAATGATATACATATGAAGACAAGCTCTACTTTGCAATTTGATATTGCAAAATAATTTGTACATCATTCTTTTATTGAGAATCCAAACAATAAAAACATTTATTCCTTGAATCTATATGATTCTTTATCGCGAACTAAGCTAAGTTTTATAAGTTCTCTTTTTCTTATCATAAATGGATATATATTGAAAATTAAGCATACGTTTTTTGATCATTTATACTAATAATTAAATGATGATAATCTATATTTAATTATATGCTTTAATACATAGAATTTACAATAGACTATAATTAGACTAGCACAATTATTAACTATCTTAAAGTACTTCATTTCTTTAGAATACATTACTATTATATTTTTTTATAATTAAAATTTAACCATTAGAATATACCAATTTTAAGAGATTAATTATGTTATGTCTATTTAAGATAACTAAAATAATATAAATTTTCACAAAATAATAAATATATTTAGAATTTTTAAATAATATAGTTGTATTATAAAATTGAATTCAATCTTAATAATCATCATCTACTAATGATAAAATCTTAATTTGATTTTCTTATTTAACATTTAATTCATCTTTTTCTTCTTCTTTATTGATGACACCAACTTTCTCTCCATCTTTTTCACAACATATTTATTTTTTGATAAACTTTGGTTTAACTTATTATTACATTTATTTTGTTTATTATTAAACAACTACTTATTTTAAATGTTGAGTAACACTATGCATAGTTTTATCACTAATTAATAATATATTATTATATTACTCTTTTTCATTTGCATCAGATAATCTCTTTACTTTAAATTATTCTTTAAATCCTTTTGATTTTTCCCATTCTTCTTGTAATTCTAAAGCATCTAAATCATAAAACAATTATTTAAGTAACATGTCAGGTGTAAATTATGTTTATCTTCTATTAAGTTAATGAGTATCATCAATAGCATCTAAAATGTCCATTTCTTTTTTTGAATCATGAGTTTTATTTTCTAAGAATTTCATAGAATCTCCTTATTCTTCATTGGCTCTCATTTATTTAAGAACTTCTTCAGCTGCTTTGGCATCTCTATATGGATCATAATTTCTGGTTCCTCCTCCTTCAACTATATAATCATGATTTCGAGGATCAGTTTTAAAAGTAATTTCAGCATAACAATAACTAATAAATAAATATGATTAAGTACGTGCATTTAAAATAGAATCGATGAATTAAAATACCTAGATAGTTTTCAGTCCACACAGTTTCTTTTCTCATATTGAATTTAGTGCCAATATAGAGATAATTACCACAATGATTACATTTTACAGTCATTGGAAGCATATTTCGAACATTATCTTATTTTCCTTTTGGACGATGATTATTTGGTAGTAATTTTGGATCAAAATCAGGTGGATAATATTTAACTAGAACTTTTCTTTCTGCCATTAAATATTAATATTAATATTCATGATAGAGATCCAAAAAATTAGTAAGTCAACATAAGGTGATTCTTCATTAAATAAGTCAACATAGAATAACATTTAGAGCACTTCTAAGTCTAATAATGAAGAAAGATAAAAAGATTTTTGTAAATTATAAGCATTACTTGAACCAAAAACAAAAATAGATAAAACTTTGAAATCTAATACACATCATAAAAGTTAGTAATAAAGTATTCCAGAATTAAAAATAAAAGATCCCAATAAAAATAAACATAATAATAATAATGTCATAATAAAGAAACATGATGAATAGAAAAATTAAATAAAAGAACTTATTGTTAAACATAAAGTTCCTGAAAAACATAATTCTAAATAAGAAATAGCTAAATATGATAAAATTTAGAAGCAAATTAAAACCAATACTTCAAATTCTACATAATAAGTAACTAAATAAAAAGAAGAAAAGGATTCTTCTTATGAACCATTAAAAATACACAAACCAATAATTAAAGAAAAAAAAATAATTTAGAAAGATGATGATGAATTACAAGAGTAATAGAATGAGATTATTATATAAAAGAAGAATCATCAAAATAATGAGAAGCAAATTTCTATAAAGAAGGATGTTGTTGATGAATCAAAAAAAGTATTGCCTAAAGTTGAAGGATAAGTAAATTAATTATAATAGAAATAATAACTTAAAAAAAGTCTTGGAGATGAAAAACTTATGTAATTATTATTAAGTTCATCTAATAAATAAACTAAAAAGAATAAAAATAAAGATAAATAAAAACAAGAGCAAACAAAATCAAAAGAAATAAAACATTAATAAACTAATTAATCTATCAAGAAGGATAAAATTAAAGAATTATAAAATAAAATTTCAAAACCTTTTTCAATTAAACCTTAAATCAAAGATTTAAGTGCTTAAAAAAATATTAAACAAATTAATCATGTTAATGATGATTATGATCTTGATGATTCTTTTATTAATGATTCAGAAAGTGTAGATGTTGAAATTGATCCATAAGAAATAGTCACAGAATTAAAAAAATTGTAAAAGTATATATTAAGTTTATAAAAGTAGAAAAAAAGAAGGAAGAAAATAGGGTGATATGGATGATGACATTGAAGAGGCTGGTTTTGATGTAATGTAAAGGGAAGAAAAGAAATCTAGAGTATTAGGAATAATAGATGATTATAGAGAAGAGAAATATATAAAGAAGGAAATTAAAAAAGAAAAGAAATAGAAGAAAAAGTTATAGGAAATGAAAAGTAAATAGGAAAATTAAAAGAAAGATTGATACATAATGATCTTAAACAATATTTTTATCATATAAATAATACATTAATAGAATATCTATTTTTAAGCAATGATAAATATAATAAAAAATTGTTCATTTAGTTATTGCTTTAACGATATCCATTACAAATTCAGGTTTTCTACTTACAACTTTAGGAGATCCAAATATGTCATCATCATCCTTTTCTTCAAATGACATGACATATACATGAGTTTAACTTCTATAATTATTAAAAATTAAATTATTACTATTGATTGAAAATCATGTTTCCTTTATGTCCTCCTATAATCCATAATTCATTACCACTTCCCATGGTATCGGCAGCACAATAACATCTTGGAATGGGAATAGTGCCATGTATTTTAGGTTTAGTCCTAATATTATAATTGAATAGTATTACCAAACCAAGGTTTCTGGATTGAAATGATAGAGATCCCCGAGAATGTCATTTGAATGTTCACCTCTTCCACCATAGATAAACAAATGGCCAGCCAAAGCACTTCCTAAATGTCCATGCCTTGGTGAAGGTGGTTCTCCTTTCATAACAGGAGTCAAATTAGCCCAACTAGCTTCTTTGGAGAAATCCAAAATCCACAAATCATTAAAATTAGGTGTATAATGTCCTTCAGGAAGCAATTAACCTCCAAAAATATAGAGTTTGTCTTTGATTTGGGTAGCAGAATGGGCAGATCTTGGGGGAGGTTTGAGTGCATACTCATCTAGATCATAACTATATTTATATTCGAATTAATACTGAGTCCACATCATTGTAGTTAAATCTAAACAATAGATGTCATTATAGGTCGTTTACACTTCAAGATCATGGCTACAATAGTAACCACCGAAATAAATTAATGATTGGTAGTTTGGTAGCAAAGTCAAAGAGGCTTTTTCCCTTGGAGAAGGTATTTAACCTTTTGGTTTGCTTTAGATCCAAGTTTTGGAAGTTGTGTTGTAAACATAGTAATCATTAAAGACTTTGTCTGAATTAAGTCCACCATAATAGATTATTTTATTCCCATATTTAATTGCACTAGATAAATTTGTATAATGTACTTATGGAATGCTCTTGGATCAGGAATTGGTCCTTTTGTATCCTCGACCACTCTGAGTTCCTTTGTTCTTGGATTAAGGATATGAAGATCATTTTTAAAATTATGGCCTGTACCTCGACCACCAAAAATGTAGAACTCATTTCCTATACCTGTCATTGTCAAGCCATGAATTCTTTCATATTTCTTTTAGATCTGATATTGAGTAAAATAGACATTATCATAGTTTTGGGGATGATAATGCAATTATTTTCTATTGACATGAAGAATGTTATTTTTGGATGAGAAATTATTAGCAACTGTAGGTAGAGTTTCATCAAAGACATATTATCCTGCAATTAGAAACTTATATTGATATGAACCAGGAGTAAGATGCAAATATGCATAATTGATGTATTTTTTTGCAAAACCTAAAAATTTCCTATTCAATTTAATAGGTTGTTTCCATTCATCCCAAGAGCCCATCACAAACATCTCATTCCAGTCCAAATATGTACGTACTTTAACTTTCATTAAGTCTTACTAAGATTGATAAGAGTCTCTTTACTTTATAGTTTTATCTAAATTGAACATCTTCATCCATGGGTTCTTGATCATCAGAACTATCGACTTGAATCAACTTCCTTGGTACAACTTCTAACTATATTTATAGTAGTTTCTTAATACCCAATTATTATAAGTCCCGAAATTATTGTAAATTACATCTGCATTGGGATCATGTTTCCAAACTCCATCAACATTGAACTTATATTAATGGTAACCTGGAGGTAAAGGGGGATTAATTTCAGCTTATAAGAAACTACAATGGTATAAAAGAAAGTACTAAGGAGGTTGCTTGGATTTCATCATTGGATATCCAACTTGAAAGTGACTCCATGAGCCATATAGTGTTACAACATCGCCTTCGTATTTCCATTCAATCACAGTTGAGTTTACTGCACATTCCTGATCTTCATGACGATTGCCACATTGTTTGCAATAATTTGATAGCATATTAAATTATTGCTAAGGTATTTAATTGTACTAACTAAAATAATAGGCAAATGATTTTTGT